TAATGATAATATTTATAATTGTCTGAAATAAATGCAATTTTAAAGTTTTAATTATTATTTAAACATATTAAAAAGTTTTACGCTCATTATTAATAGAGATTGAAACTAAATATTTTTTTGTGTCGAAGTTGAAATCAAGGCATATTCACTGCCAAAAGTCAGTTAAAAATTTTCCGTATTGTTCGTTATTTCTTACTTTATTCAAAGTTTTTGGTCAAATTCCAAATTTTCTCTCAAACCGTATATAGATAGTATTTACCTCATGATATGCTGCAAAACCTAATTAATCTTGTCTCCGATTGTACCTCCCAAACATCCTTAACAACTTGTGAACAATAATCTAATCTAGCTCTTACCTCTGCATCTCTTAATTCTTTTTTTGTGCACCTAATATGTCTCTGGCTAGCCCTCCATGCCTAAGAAGGTGTCCTACCAACCTAGCTTACTTATTTCTTATTGACTTCCGTATAGTAAATCAAAAGTAGTGATGGGCTAAGTAAAACTAAGAACTCAACTGTGAGCCATCAATGGGAAAGTAACACTGCATAGTAAATCCAACTATTCTCATTTCTTTCAGTGTACATATAACAGAATCTTTAACTCATCATTGTGGTTTACATTTCATCATCATAAGGTCGTCAGTTCTAAGACTGGTTGGATACGCACCTCCACTCTTTCCTACCCTGAGCTAATCTTCGCATTTCCTTAAAACTAGAACAACCCACATCCTTAACTATTTGCGAACAGTAATATAATCTAGGTCTACCTCTACCTCACCTAACTCCCGTTTCTACCTCTAATATGTCTCTGAGTAGACCTTCATTCCTGTGAAGGTGTCCTATCAACCTATTTCGCCTATTATTGACTTCCATATAGTAATCTGTTATCCTATTCTTTCTAATATCTCTTCATTTCTAACCTCCTCTATCCACGGTAGATATCATCATCATTTTCCTGTAAAACCTCAACTAATCCTTTGCCCCTGTATATCTAACGCTACAGTTGTCCTGTCTTTAAAGATGTTGATCGCGTCTTCGACTAGATTAAAAAGTGACGGTGACAGTGTCCATCCTTGTCTGACTCCCTTCCTAATATTTACTAGTCTATGTTCCTGTTGATCTTTATACAAACTAAGCAAATATACTTATAATGTTGGATAATCCTAAAAATTCATTTAGGAGAAGAAAAAAAATGTGAGACTAAAAAATTCTCCTTTCTCTAAACTTTCGAACTTCGCTTTGCATAATTAGAAATTCATTTTGTAAAACCTTTTCTGCAATTTACAAATGACGATATGCAGTAGTTGGAATTCTTGTAGATTTTCTATTCGTCCTACACAAATCCGATGGCAATTTGAATAAATAGCCACTGTTTAGAAATAATTAGTTCGACAAATTATAGAACCGTTCAGGTAACCGACAGTTAGCTGTAATTATTTCTTAATCAACAGAAAACTAATGAGTATCTACCTTAGAAAGAACGGCCAACTAAAGACCATATACGTATTAGATGAATTAATAAACAAGACATTAACATATCTCAATTATAAAAAGACCATTTCGGATCATAAATTCAAGCTTCATTATGAACTGTTTCCGATTAATAATAAAAACGCGATTAATGGATTAAAAATATGTTACTTTTATCATACTTGGTTATTGATTTGGCTTACCAAGATAACAAATTCGAAATAAAATTTATTAGGTGCATCCATGATGATGTTGTCAACACTATAACCGCTTTGCCAAATATTTTGAATGTACAAAGTTTTAGCGATATTTAAACTGCTTTTGACATTAATTAATGATACAATATGATAATAAAATTTTATTATGCATCAAGGTGCAAACTACCTTGAACGATTCAAATTTATTTTTTAATTAATTAGCACATAAAATATCAACTACAGCTACTCAAATCAGATCGGATATAAAAGTTAAAAGTTAATCAATTCAACACAAGAGATTTTAATAGAAACAGACAAATAGATTTAATCGGGAAACGGTTACATAATAACAAACAAAAAGCGATTAAAAACATTTGCATATGTAACAAAAGTATAAATAAATTTTCTATGAAAGGAATTATCATAATAACTGTAAAATTATTTAAGAGATTCGCCCGAATTGAATCGTTATAATAAGTATAAAAGTTAATTTTGAAAATATATTTAAAATGGAGACCAGCAGTAGCCATATTGTTAATTTATCGTAGGATATTAGAATTAACATCAATTCGTATAAAAATTAGTATAAATAATAAACTGATTTCTCTGTAGTAATGAACCATTTTTCTAAGTAGCCGATACAGTTTATACTCATACCTAAGTATAATATGTATCTCTAACTGCTTAATGTGGAGAAAATTATCGGTNGGATATTAGAATTAACATCAATTCGTATAAAAATTAGTATAAATAATAAACTGATTTCTCTGTAGTAATGAACCATTTTTCTAAGTAGCCGATACAGTTTATACTCATACCTAAGTATAATATGTATCTCTAACTGCTTAATGTGGAGAAAATTATCGGTATTTAATCGTGTAAAATATGCGATACTTTGTATGCGTATTTGTTAACAATATAAACAACGATTGGAAGAAATGGGCTTCACAAATACATACATGTGTTCGTGTAAGTACATGTTGTTTTTCATTAATCACTAATTGTAGTATCAGCAATACTTTACAGGCGGTGCCTACTATGTTCTACAATATTCAGCGTTGTTATTTGATTTTAATTATCTGTGAAAGTTGTTATCAGCATTCGTCTCTTGTCATGTAAATAAATATTGCAATTATTAGCACATATTTAGTGAACAATTGAATACAAACAACTGTAAACAATATCATTAAAGGCTAGTTCAAAGTAGGATTAAATAAAATGATCGGTATACCGCTTGTACCTACGTATACGACGTCTGTTCCGAAACTATCGCGAATTTTTTCGATTTTTTTGTGGCGAAATGGTTTGATCTTAATTTCGACTAGGCTACGATTGAGGAGATAAAGACAGCATCAGCAGCTGAACAAGATCACAAAAAATGATTTTTTAAAGTGCTTCGACGATTGGAAAAAACATTGGCACAAATGTATAATATCTGGTGGAGACTACTTTGAAAGGGACAAAATAGATAATCATGAATAAATAAATAATTTTTGAAAAAACACAAAATAGATTTACGGAATAAAGCGTAAAAATACTGAAAGATTCGAAGAAGATTAACAAAATTTCTACACTAACTACACAAGAAATTATGTTCTAGTATCGTTAATTAAATGAATACACAACTCAATTTAAAAGTAATATCTATCCCAATTTTGTTCGTGTGGTTTCCTAAAATTGAATGAAATCGTATACAAAAGATTCTTGTGCATTAAAATTTCCTACTCCTTTAAGAAACGTCATAAATTCCAGTCAACTAAAATATTACGACATTTCAATTTATTTAAGTGAATCCTGCGAATGATGTACTCTGATCCTTTAGATCCGTTTAGTGTGTGCGTCACTGCCGAATTTTGACTGAAGGAGACAAACATAATCGTTGAAGTAAAAACGCTCTTCAAAGACACTCTACAAGAATTCCCTCTCACCAATAGGCGATGAGTTTTATTGTTTAGCCTCGAGATATGTTCGTTTCCGATTCAATGCATGCAAGAGCCTTTTTTATATCACTAAAGTCCTTATCCTTTATGTACCGTTCGTATCATACGACTGTGCAAAGGCGGCTGGTGTATAGGAGTTTTAGAACTGACAAAAAAATTGATTTTTGCAACCTAAATTACTTTCTTAGTTACATCGCACACCCAACGTTGATGTGGTATTATAAAGTCGCCGATCTGTCCGGTCTTTCTTTGGATTCTGGTCAATTGCTCACAAGTTTTTGATAGCTTAACAGTTTCACTTAAAATGTAAGTTTTTAGAAAAAGAATAAGACTCATGTCAAATAATTGTTTCTCAAAGTGGGCAGTGGACGAAATAAGTAGTAAACTGAATGAATTCTCTCAGTCTGGACTCTAGTCTCTAGAAAGAGTCTGTCGCGGTGTCCTTTATGTGTATGACTGAACTGAAACATCAAGGTAAAGAAGAAATTATTGAAGAATTGCAGCAATACCTATGTCAACATCAGAAGCTGAAGGTATACTTCGTTTACTTTCTGTAGCGATGTGACATTCAGTTTGACCGGCGCAAAGTAGAAAAGAACAGCACTAGGCCAGAAAAGGAAGGAAATAACTCTCGGCCAAACTCTTAACCGGTGAGGAGCGTATAATCCGTACAGTACTGCACGGAAAAATTGACCATTTTATCCACTAAAATTGCATTGCTCAAACGTGCTGTTATTGGTACCAATTACTACTGAAAATATCAACGAGATGTTTATTTATATTTGAAGACATATTAAAGGCTTCAACGCTTGTTTTCGACTCGCACTACTATTCATGATTGAACAAAACTTTTGGCAGGTACTGTATGAAAAAGTATGTTTAATGAACAAGAGTCGAGAGTATAATGAGCTTTTTTCTCACTACCTACGATTTTGCCAGCGCGCATCCAAGACATTGGAAAGGGCACATCGCTAGAGAAAGTAAATGAAGTATACTTCTCAACTTTAAGAAGAATCAAGACCAATTTCCGCAATTGTATGCACCATCAATAGCTCTGCAGAAAATAGTACAAATGGCGCGGTAAACGCCACCTGTAGTACGATGCTACATTGTTGGAACATACGTAATCCTAAAATGTAGAATCGTACTACAGATGGCGTTTACCGCGCCATTTGTAGTATTTTCTAAAGCGCGCTGTTGGGACAGCAGGTAAAAGTTGGTCTGTGTTCTGTCGGAGCTGTCTGCGACGCGCTGATGAGATCCAAAAAGATGGAGATCGCGATCCGCGTCTGGTAGTCTCGACAGAATACAGACCACTTCGAATTATTTTATTCAATAGCCCTGCAGATTTCATTACGAGCCACCACTGCAACTATATACACACATATATATATAACTATATACACATAAATTTGTGCCCTTTTATATAATGCTTTTGCACGACAGCAGAGCCTCTGCGATGGCATGCTCGAATCGCCTGAGGACACAGAATCGTATCGGGTTCTTGCAGTTATTGTCTTCGACCATGAAGATGATCTCTCTTTCTTTCATGTTCGGGGTCGAGCCATTGAGCAATGTGCATTTCACAAGTGAGCTGTTCAGGATCAGGGAATCTGAGCAAAGGTTTATTGCCATTTTGACATGCGCCTTTGTTATCCTGATTGTATACGGCTTACAAATAAAAGGGAACAAGCAAAATCGACGAAAACGCAATCGAATCTAAACGATTACGGTTTATACCAAGAGTAACGTTAAATCGAAAATCGATCTTAAAGTCAGTGAATAGATATAACGTTTATGAAAAAATTAACCGAATATCATATAAAGATCAACAGGTTTGAATTTAGCCTTCAAAAGATAAGTACCTACCTACTGCAAGGATTTAAAAACAAAAACAGTATCAATATTTTTGTATGCTCCCTGTCTGTATGCGACTCAATATGAAATACACTCCATTTCAATTTGTTAGAATTGTGACCTTGAAGTAATCTGCGCGAAGATAGAAAGAATACACACTAGGCGTAAGCAAGACAGAAATAGTTGGAACAAGATTGAACGAGCAGGGCTCTCGATGGGCGGTCCTAGGAGATCGGCTAGAACTGTACAGTACTAGACGAAAATGTTTAGCAATTTCTTAAAACAAAAATTAACAATATTATTATTGACAATAGAAAACAAAGCAAAAATTTTACAGGTGTGTAGAACGTTAAGTTAATTCACTTGTTATTATTTTTGGCTAAATATGCTTTTAAATATAAAGCATATTCTTAAATTTTAACTAGGCAGTTTAAATAATTTTGCAAATGATACTGTACACTTTTGTCTAGTTCTCGCAGACAAATATGATTGAATTTGGAATTATGCTACGGCGCATCCTAATAAAAGGAAGGGGCATATCTCTAACTTCTTGAAACGAACAGTAATCATATTACTCTGCCAAAATAGCATGTTCTTTTTGTCAAACACATTTTAAGATCTTTTGCGCATCAATAATCCTTCATAGTCCTGGAACCGTAACGTAAGGTTTAATCTAATCATCTAACGGCGACATACAAACGGGAATGGTCCATAATTCCCGTAATTAATTTAACAATAACATTTACTGTGAATTGTTTGTAAAATATTTCTAAAGTCAAATATTGAATTGTTTCCACTCAACTGGCTCTGTATGTAAATCTACAATAGAAGGCAGACCATTATAAAATAGTTTCCAATATTCCCAGCATGTTTCTAAACCGTATAATAAGATAAAATTCAATCCCATTTAAAGAATCTTGTCTTTGGTGAATCTTTTACTTTTACCGAGTAAAATGCATGACGTACATCTATTACAACGCGATATCAGATGGAATAGTTTCGACTGAAATTAAGTATGTTTATAGATGAGAATTCCAATCAAACATGGAAATTTTAGGAAATAGTTGAAACAATCATTAAACACTAAAAGCTGCACCGTTTCCCTACCATACCTACAATAAAAAAGCTGAATCAAGTCAAATCTCTCTTTGGTTGTAACAATAATAATAATACCAAATTGACCGAAAAACAATTTCTTACGTTTCATCTTTCTTTACTAGAGAATGTTAGTCGTTGTTTAAACTTATCATTTATGTAAAAAGAAACATTATCATTCGAATTATAGAGTCAGATGGACTAATAGGTTGCAAGTTAATAACACCCGAATGAATAAATTTTTCGCTTTCACTGACGAAATAAATAAGATTGACGTTAACGCTATGAAAATTAGGCAGTTGAAGAAGAAATTCAAAGAATATTGTTACAAGAACGCTTTCATAGAGAGCATTACTTGACGAATATGAAGTAAATAGGGAGCATGACGAAGAATTTAAAGAAGAACAAAAATCCGAATCTAAAAGCGACGCTAAAAAGACGATAAAAATGTGCCAAAAGAACGCGTTAATTGAATTGCGTTGTGAGAAGAAAAGCATTTCCTAATGAAGATTACGGATATAGGGACAATAGAGGTGACTTTGAAGAAGAACAAGAATCCGAATCTAAAAGACACTACCATGAAGACGATGAAAATGTGCCAAAACAACATGATGAATTGAACTATGTTGCGAGAACGCCTTCATAAAGCATTACCTAATGAAGATGAAGTAAATAGGGAGAATGATGAAGAATTTAAATAAAGACCAAAAATCTGAATCTAATAGCGACTAGGAAAAAGACAATAAAAATATGCTAAAATATCGCGCTGATTGAATTGTGTTGCTAGAATGTCTTCATACAGTATTACCTAGTGAACATGATGAAAATAGGAAAAATGACAAAGAATTTGAAGAAGAACAAGAATCCGAATCTGATAGCAACAATGAATAAGATGATGAAAATATTCTAAAATAACGCACTTGTAGTTGATGAGAAAAGACAAAGAATTTTGAGGAGAAAGGCCATCAAGAAGAACAATCTACAGGAAAAGACGATTACGTGAAGAAAGGAGGTGCTATAATAGTTGTGGATTAGTAGAAAGTAGTGAAATCCTTTGTGTATCTAGTGAATATGGTCATATGTGGCATCCAAGTATTCAACAGCATCAAAAAATAAAATGAAAGAAAGTGCATCCCGGAATCAGCCGATTTGTGATTACTGAAGACAACAAATTTGGTAGCGATATTATACTGCAAAACGTCCAAGATATAATTATGAGATCCTTAAGGACGTTTCACATGAACTATGCAGAAAACTGCAGCTTTACTTTGCAACAGTGTTTACAATAGTATCCGGAAGCATCGTGCGTCTTGTTAGGATTAAAATGCAGTAAAAAGTGAAGACCATGACAGATGTTTTATGCGGGGAACAATCCGACAATAAATTTTATTGTCTGCTGCACAATGGGTTAGAATTTAAGACACGATTCCACATTAAATCATTTCAAAGCTGTTTGAACGTCAAATTAAAAACGTTTTTGAAGAGGCGTGCGCAATTTTACAACGCTAAAATTCCATTTCACTTATGAGTAATCACATTACAAAATCATAAAACCGTAATAATGTCGTACTTTCACAAATCTCAGGAAGAGTAATATTTTTTTTTTCACTAACTATTGCAAATTAAAGCGTAATCCACTGACAGTCAAGGAACTTTTTTTCCAGGAAGTAATGACCAACAAAAACCTTTACTGCGGATACCTTTTAGAAAGGTATTTGTTATTCTTACAACCTATTACATCCAGTAATGTCTTGCAGGACTCAAGGTTCAAATGGATAACTACTAAAAATTCTACCTGGCCTAATACTGGCTCCCAAACACTGACAGCAGTAAAAACAGAACAAAGTTATTAAGTTGTGACTGGATATGTCACAACAAGGTGTAAAAAGTATTCTCTACGTCCCTAAAAATACTTTCGGATGTAAAAATAGATAAATTTCAATTTCATAAAGCCGAGCCAGCTGGGCGCATATCAGAAATGTTTTAAACCACTCTTTCATGCCGCGTCAATTAGCATCATCAGGATGATTATTCAAATAGTTTCAAAAGCGATATGCATTTCCTCCAAAGATGTTGGATTCACCTGAATAAGTTACTTACTTTTACTAAATAAGTTTTAAAACCGTATTTCAAATGGTATTCAAAAATCACCTCAATGTGAAAATAGAAAACATGAACACACCAAAATAAAATTTACCTTACGTATCATTTGAAACCATTGTCCAAGTTTTCAATGGTCTCAAAAGGCGACAAGAAATCAAAGTTTTTGTTATACAGTCAATTCGATAGAGATAATTCACGAAAACCACATAGCAGCACAGAAAAGAGTAGCGTACGTGCGATCGCGTCGTCGGAAGAATGAATTGAAAGCACACACTGTACGTATTCTGAACGAAGAGCTTTGGAAAGTAACGTAGCGCCACCAACACTCTACTACAACAAACTGACGCTGTGATCGTTCGCTACGTTGCTGCTGGATGAAGAACTTGTTCAGGCATGCAAGTAGGTGGTGGAAACGGCAATGATGGTGGAGGAACTGACGGACGCCGTCGCGACGCCGATCGTCCTGGAAAAGTTCTCGTCCATGTCATACTACACGTATATACGCGTACTGCATCAAACAAGTGGAAAATGGGCATGCACTGTCAGGAAAACTGAACATGTATTCAACTTTTAAGATAGTCCAATACTTTTAGATGTCATGTGTGTCTTTCAAAATAAGTATAAAGTATTTCTTAAAAGAAAAAAGACAAGGGAACTAAGGGAAGTAAAATTCACAATGTTCCACTGCTCAGTTTCATGCATAAATTTAAAATATATGTGCATATAAGATCTATTACGACAAATATGTAGGACGTATTATCATCACAAAGTCGTCAGTTCTAAGATTGGTTAGACACGCACCTCCACACTTTCCCAATTTTCGCATTTCCCAAAAACTAGAACATCCCACATCCTTAACTATTTGCGCATTGTAATCTAATCTAGATCTACCTCTACTCCTCTTATATCCTGTTTTTGCCTCTAATATATCTCTGACTAAACCTTCATGCCTGAGAAGGTGTCCTACCAACCTATCTCGCCTATTTCTTATTGACTTTCATACAGTCCTCTGTTCTCCTATTCTTTCTAATACCTCTTCATTTCTAACCTTCTCTGTCCGCGGTTTCCTCATCATTTGCCGGTAAACCACATTTCGAACGCTTCTAACCTTTTCTTTTCCGCCGCGCCCACCGTCTATGTTTCGTACCCGTACAGCGTCGTGCTCCAAATATGCACCTTTAACAATCTTTTTCGAATTTCTAAATTAATTGTTCGTGAGCATAGAAATGACTTCTTTTGCACTACTTTTATCTAAACTTGGATGTAGTTAGTTTTCCGTAATTATCGTTTTTTTTAAAGCAAGTAAAGAATTATGAGAGATCTTCATTATTTCAAGTAAAACTTGACCCTTTGGAACTTGTATTGATAAAGGCGTAGATAATGGACACCAGGGTTGGATGGGGCCACCGACCACCCGGGCGTTTGTCTAGCAGTCTTTTTAAGATCAATAGAAGAACGTAGGGAATGGAAAACTAGCAATTTGAGACCTTGATCTATTTGATCAGATCAATAAATTCATATCTTTATTGTACTTATATTATAGTCGTACGTATCACTACGATTGTAAGAAATGAGAGTAATTTATATCCACCTACTTTACATGTGTGAAAAACAGGCACTACTGGATAAATAGCTTTTCCACAATAACGATTTAAAGTTTTTAATTCAGTGAGTCTTAATGTTTTCTGGAACTGTAGATCGTGCGATTTTAACTTTGCTGACAGATTTTGAAAGTAGAAGTCAATATTCATTATTACCACTATCATCATCGTTATTACTGTTATGACTATTGCTATTCAAGGTATGTATATTTAAAGTTAACACCGCTCGAATTCCTTTTTGCTCGAACTCATCTATTGTATCCCATCCAACCCTGATTAACACCGTCAGCTATGACGATATTATGGATTATTTCGCGAATAAAAACATAATAAACATTATAATATTTTACGACTAATAGATTCATTTATTTCACTTTTCAATACTTTTAGCTGACCTACCTGCCTAAAATTTTAACAAAAGCTTAGGCAAATAGATCCCGCTACTTGACTCATTTCGTTCCCATCATTTACTATATAAGATGATACTGCTTGATTATTTATATAAAAGATAAATAAAAAAAAAAAACGTGCGGCTTCTGTAATTAATAGTTACTTAATTTGAAATTCAATAACAGCAATTTCAGGAACATTTAATAGACATTTTCCGTCATCAATAGAATGAAAAGAAGAACAACAATAGAAAGAAAAAGGACCATTCTTAAAACAATAACTTTAAAAAAAATATCTTCATTGTTAAGTCCTCTATTGTTTATGAGAGACGAACACCTGTATACAGCTGCAATTCGCACCGTGGTTGTCGATGAGCCCCAACATGGGAATGAGCAAAGGAAGGGTGCTGAATTCGAACTTGATTTTAACAAAGGGGTGGCAGCATTAAAACATTTATTACTGCCTGACTAGAAATTTTAACAGAGCATTAGTTAGAAAATCCGAATCTAAATTTTATAAAATGAAAAGTAGAAACTTGGTTGTACATTAAGAAATACAATCTCAATATGTCTCTACCGAGATCCACGAAGGGCAGATTTTATTTATTAACAAATGTTTTCATAGTTATGTAGTAAATTTTTACTCTTATGGTCATTACCAATAATATAAATTCGCTTTTGTCTAAGTATTTGTAGCACACTTGTTACTAATTAAAAAACAGGCAAATTTATAATGTTAAGCAACAAGTTGGATTTGGTGTGCCGATGAGACTGATTAATCAGTCCGAAGTATCGATCTAGTGATGTGATTTATTCGAAATTCCTGCATTTAAAATGCAAATACAAAATAAAAATACCTATTTTTATCTTGCATTTAAATACTTTTTTGAGAAAAGTATTTTGTATTTTCTATTTGTAAAAAAAAAACTCAACAATTACATGTTTATTCCAGTGACAAGCAAGCGCATTGATTTTAATTTTGTGATAATAATAGGAAATTCGAATAATAAAATAATTCGAAGTGGTCTGTATAAAAATACGTAATCCTAAAATGTAGCATCGTGCTACAGATGGCGTTCACTGTGCCGTTTGTAGTATTTTCTGAAATTCGAATAATGTTCATAAAAATGTATGTTTGGAGTATGGCTCTGTATGGGGATGAAAGGTGGACGAAGGGCGTTATGGAAAGGAATATATATCAGAAATGAGGGGATATTAAAAAACATACCACCCCTTTTCAGACATGAACGGCCTAGATATATCAAAAGTAGAAACAAGTATTAAGAGAGACAGAGGAAGAAAAAATAGTTGGAAGTGCAGATTGCTCTAAATTTTAGGGAATGTAAAGTTGGGCTCAAAATATAGGTAAAAGTGAAAGTTTTTGGAGTAAGGACCTCATGATACTAACCCAATTTTCTCATTTGTAAGCCATGCATGTACTTTACAGTAAACAATGAAACAGCGAGAAAATAAAAACGCATTTTAAAAATGTATTTAGAAAATCCTTATTTTGAATTTTGTATTTATAAATATTCTATTTATATATATTGATATAGCAGTATTAGCATCTAGCAAGGAGGAACTAGAGATAGCTTTAAATAAAATGAAGCGGTACTGACAGATCAGTACTGTATGAAAATAAATAAAAGTAAAACTAAAATACTGATATGCAAGGGAAGAAAAAGTAGGGAAAGAGCGATTATAAAGATAGGAGACGAAAAATTAGAAGAAGTGGCTGATTTTAGATACCTAGGAAGTCAGATAAGTGTGGATGGAAGGAGTAGTAATAAAATAAAAAGAAGTCACTTCTATGCTCGCGAACGGTTAATTTAGAAATTCGGAAAAGGTTGTTAAAGGTGTATGTTTGGAGCACGGCGTTGTACGGGTGCGAAACATGGACAGTGTGCGCGGCGGAAAAGAAAAGGTTAGAAGCGTTCGAAATGTGGTGTTATAGGCGGATGATGAGGAAATCGTGGGTAGAAAAGGTTAGAAATGAAGAGGTATTCGAAAGAATAGGAGAACTGAGGACTCTAATGGAAGTCAATAAAAAATAGGCAAGATAGATTGGTAGGACACCTTCTCAGGCATGAAGGTCTAGTCAGAGACATATTAGAGGCAGAAACAGGAGTTAGGGGGGGTAGAGGTAGACCTAGATTAGATTACTGTTCGCAAATAGTTAAGGATGTGGGCTGTTCTAGTTTTAGGGAAATGCGAAGTTTAGCTCAGGATAGGAAAGAGTGGAGGTACGTGTCCAACCAGTCTTAGGACTGATGACTTTATGATGATGAATTCGTTTTTCTTATTACGATTACTATTATGGAATATGGAATCCTTTGGTATTTTGCATCATCCATTTCAAACACAACAATTTTTTAAATTCATTAAAAAGCATAGTCATTGCCAACAATACAAGTTCACTTTCGTCCAAGTGCATATAATACACTTATAAAATATAACAAGGCACCAATATTGAATCTATTTTTACACATACGGATAACATACCTTCAAAATACGTTCCTCAACTTAAGTGCACATTTCCTGTCTCAAAATAACACACTGTACATAGATTACAATATAACTACACTACTACAGAAAAAACTGTGACCAAATTTTTCATGAAACTCGTCGGCGAATATAAAAAGCAAAACCTAGGTAAGTGTAATATTCTAGCGAAAAGTATCCAATGTTATTAATTAACAATGATTAAGACACAGAAAAATTTCTTTTCATGTTGATAAAGAGTATGTTTAATCTAGAAAATTTAGTTTTATCCTGATGATCCTGGTCAGGACTTAAGAACAAATTGATCAGATTATAGTATTTATAAATACGAGAAAATAACGCTTTAATTTAGTTATTCTGGTGGTTTTCTGCCATTTTTGATACATAAAGAATATAAATTAATGAGCGAATATAATGGCTTAAATTTAAAAATTTCTAGCTTTACAGATTAACGCAAATTTGTACATATTGCAAACCCGAAACCCTATTATCAATTTTCACTGTATAACTAACTGATAGGCAGTTATTGAAAAGCACACACAGCAAATTTTCACACTCGCTAATGTATCTACTAATAGGTAGATACATGCCGTACTTCTAGGTTTGTAAATGAATGAAATTGAACAAACAATAGAATCGGTCGCTTTTTATTTGTTTAAGTATCGTTTCGTTTCGATGGTTTGCGGTACCTTTGATCGTATACTGAGTCGTTTTTGTCACTCAATTAAAAATTACAATATGTACATTTATTAATTAGACGCACCACGTAATGATGAAATTACGCATTAATCCAAACATAAATGTTCTACAAATATAAACTGGGTAAACCCGTTCAAACTTGTACTTGAAGAGCTTGAAAATCGAGAAAATGTCCTTTTGAATGTTGTGAGAGAAGTAAGTGTACTTTTGACTCGATTGCAATGTCTTAACTATATGCTTATCAGAAACACGTAAAAGTAAATTAGAAAGTTATTAAAGATTTAGTTTATCTATAGGATCAACTTGAGAAATTTAGTAAAACTTTTGAGAAATACATTGATGCAGTAAGAAAATATTGTTTAAAGCTTTCCATTCAAAAGTCCACTAGAATAACTGCACAATTTGATAGGATACTGGGTAAACTTGTAACACACATGAACCCATCTACGTATTATATACTTAAGCAGCTCGAATGTAGTATAAATTTTATTGGCTTTATCTTCTTTTTCAAACGATTTAAAGATATGGTTTGGAGAATTACAGCATTGCAAAGGTTCTTAAGAATTGTTTTTAAAGGTTGAAATAGAAATGGATGGAAAATTAAGAACGAACCAAGAAGATTAAAGCTTTAAAAAAACATTGAGCAGTTCGTCGCTGAAGCGTTTCGGTATGGATTTCTAAGTATGTTAGCATCAATTCGCAACTTTTCTCAAATCTGGGAATAACAATTATAAGTAGGATTTATTCTTGTCGATAATCCACATTTCTATTTAGGAGCCTTGTATATCCTTAAGATATATGAGCTTCCAGTTTGCTTAAGTTGACTGTGAAAAAATTGTCGAATTATGCCAATAAAATTACAAATTTCCCCATGAGATGATTCAACAATTAAGGGATCCTGTCCAATTTTTCGACTTTTTGTAAGGATAAAATGAAAAAGCAATTTTTCAAATAGCTGAATTTATTCTACGAAAATTTTGCTAGATATCATTTTGTAGGGATAAATCTTTAGAAATGAAGTTCAAATTGTCGAAATTTGAGAAATTCGATAAAAACAACTTCAACATGGCACTCCAGTGTCCACGTGTCTAACGTGTACAGGGATGTTCTGTACTTGGACTTGGTCTTCTTCTTTTACCAAAGAAGTAAATTAGCAAATTCATTAATTATCTGTAGCAGAGTTTCACTCGAAAGTGAAGTAATTTAACACATTTCGGAAATAAAATCTGTGTTTTATAAATGAAGTTTATATATCGACTTTACGATATAATGCAACGGAATAAGATACGTACATTGAGAGGTAATAAGGAAATACTGCGTGAGGATATACCTCGGTAAAGGATTAAGTGTCAGAGAAAACTCGTTGTTGAATACATTTTAGTAATCCAGACGTGTTACATTCTCGCTCATTTCGTCTTTATTAATCCGTGAGATACAAAATGAGCTTTCCATTACAAGTTTAAATGCCGCCATTTTCTTAGTAATTAAACTGATAAATGCGCAGTCATAAAAAATAAAAGATTGACGAACAATTTCAAATTACCATCTGCGATAAAAACTAACCATCCCCAAAATTTTATAGTCCCAATTAGGTACAGTAAAGTCAAGGAAAAATGCGGCATTTTTTACCTACAGTTAATTTGATATTATTGATTCAATAGAATTATTTCATTTTATATGCGTCATTAATAATTAATTAACAATTAGAATTAAATACCTTTTTCCGAAGCATAGTAACTGTTTAACTTCTAACTCACACGTTTTTTTACTTTCGAATTACTTAGTACAAATCACTAAATGACACAAGATCTGTAACCTTAATTAATTAATTAAGCAACTAAAGTGTCAACTTCGAATGGCTACTCTGATCCACGTTATTTTAAAGAATTGAATTACCGCACTGGTTGATCGGAGAATAATGAAAGATTAACAGATTAATTATGGATATTGTTTCATCCTTTTTTTAACAATTTAATAAAAATTGTTTCATTTAAATGAACTTATTTTCACATGTATGCTAGTAAGTGTATTTCAATGCACCCTTCAAAAATATTTTATTTCGCTAAGGGTACCCTTCAGAATGTTAGGATGGTAATTCTATTTTAAAGTTCTTACCACTATTGCCCCTCGAAAATGTATTCAATGTATGAATTAGTAAAAAGAAAGGGGTGGCTAAAATAAAAACCGTTGAACCTATGAAAAGTGAGCAGCATTTAAATAGGTATAAAACAAAAAACCCTTTGGCTTGAAAGGAAAATGAGTAATTTTACACTTATTGTACTTACATGGTGCTATTTCGCCTGGTATTTCTGTTATACTGTGCGACTTTTTTATGTATCCTTATCAAAAGTTGCGTAAAACAATTAAGAATTGCTTGCTATCACTTTTATAAAATAATTTTTCTAAAACAATATTTGCATAAGATTGCAAAAAAGTTGTTCTATTTTGTTTTAAGTATTTCAAATTAAATCATTTCATCTTTAGAACAGAAAACGGATCTATGTATACAAATATAATTAAAAATGTATGTAAAGGCGCATAAGTTATGCAACTTCATTTACATTGGTGCACTTTTAAAATATACCAAATACTAAGTTTTTAAAATAGTTTGTATAATAGATTCCATTTGTTCTCTTTATTGTAATTAGTGCAAATTTGAATCAAAATAGGGTTGTACCACCAATCTGGTTTAGATTTATCATTATTAAAATGTTTTGGTTATTATTGTGCACGCCCTGTATATTAATTTGTATTAGTCAGCTGACATCTGCCAATTTTGAACGGTTTCCAGATTATGCAGTTTCTAATTAATTTATTATAGCTGTGTTTATCATTCATTTGAAAGTTCACCGTCGAAATACTTGTTTACTTTCCAACCATGGAAGAGAAAATAGAAAAAGTTCACTCATACCTGGAATTTCTCAAAACTTTAGGAATCAAATTATTGGAAGATCAGGCAAATTTGGACATATCAGCTTCTGATACTGAAGATGCAATTAAAGCCAATTTCCAGGTCATCAAAAAAATTATACTTGAAGAGCTTCAAAATCGAGAAAAAGTCCTTTTGGATGTTGTAAGAGAAGTAAGTGTTTGATTCAATCACAATATGTTAAGGATATTTTTATAAGAAACATAAAAGTAAATTACTTTTAGTTTTATGTATCAGAATCTGCGTCTATAGCAAACAGGGCACATGATGTATCAAAAAATGTTGAAATTCTTGAAGATTTAGTTGATCTACAGGGCCAACATGAGAAATTTAATAAAACTTTTGAAAAATACATTGATGCAGTAAGAAATGATTGCTTAAACCTTTCCATTCAAAAGTCAACTAGAATAATTGCACAATTTGATGGGAAGGATAAATTAATAACAAACTGCAGGCATTTTGGAAGAATCTCAACAGGGGCCCCCTTGAAAGTAAGGCAAATCAACCTATTTCACAAAGAATCTATATAAAATCTAATTTTTATTTTTAGATAATTAAAATATTATCACAACCAGGTGCAATACTCATTAAATGGGACACCATCGAGAAAAATCTTGATATAGATGAATATTGTTTGCAAAAACTAAAACTGAGAAGTACATCATTTACAAAAAAACAGAAATTTGAGGACTGTTATGTGGGTGAGTCTGCAAATTACCATTTTAATATTTTCTCATTAACTGATTTATAAAATAAAAAGGTCCAGACACTGAATTCCTTGATAAAACAATAATTCCAAATGAACATTATGCTTATCGTGTTAGCTTGAGGTATGAAAATGAAGCAAAATGGAGTGAATGGTCAATGCCCAAATTGGCTACGACTACACTCAGGCCACTTTGTTGGAAAAACAACTCCAATTTTAAATTATCCCATGAGAATCTTGTGGCAGAATCTCTTGCTGAAAAACCTGTCACACTATATTCCACCAATTTTAAGTTGTGTACAGGATATTACATAGAAATTACGGTGAGATTTTAAGCTGAGACAATGCCACACTAACGCTTTCTAAATTTCTTCACTAAACTTATAATTAAAACCAATATCAAAGAATAATCATAACCCTCTCTCTCCAAATACGCCCCATAATTGATTTACATGAACACTGATTGCTGAATTTCTCTTAAAATTATATTGATTGGCATTAAATGAAATAATTTTTTAATATTTAATGTTTTAGTTTCTAAAATGTGATGAGAAACGCAGTAATGTGTTCATTGGTCTCTCTCCTATAGAAGAATATGTAGAAAATATTTTGGATTTACCAAAAGCCCTTATTTTCGAAGCAGATGGACACATCTTTTCAGATGGTCACAAAAAGACTACCAAACTACCCCCTGTAAATAAGGGAAGAAAGGTAAGGATCCAACAAATAAAACAAACTCAAAATAGCAACACAGTTTATTTTCTCATCTTAGGTTCTTTTTATATGTGAAAAATTTGAAGATAACAAAGCAAGAATTCACATAGACAATCATAATATGAGAGTGACATATGATTGGGTACTGGAAAACTCAGAAGTTTATGTATGTGCCAACTTTAACTCTCCAAATTGGAAAATAGCCATTAATTAATGTAAACTAACAGTATTGTGTACAGTATGTAATATAAATACTAGCATTAAACAAAATGTTTTGTTAAATAGTCTTCATTTTAACATTTATATGATCAAACATCACCACAGAAAAGGCATCAATTACTGTTAGATTATGTAAGGACTTACTGGACTTATAAGTATCTGATAAGTTTAGCCCACTAAACTTGTTGCTCCTCTTAATGCTAAATAACCTGCTGTGATATCCATAGGAAGCCCTATGATCATAGCATATTCATCCTTGTTGGCAAATCTTAGACGTGTCTGGGGATCAGTATATGGGGCTGGTAAACCTGATAAGTCAGAAAACTTTTCTGGTGGTCTAAACGAAGGGGGTGCGTTTATAGAACTGTAATGAACGTAGTCCTCTGGCCACGGCAATGATCTTTCAGCAGAAATGATCTGTTTCAATGACTTCCAAGCTCGCTTCTTGTTAGGCTGCTTAGCAATAAGTTGTTGAAAAGTACATCGCTTAAAAACATGTTTTGTCTCACCCTTAGCTTCTTCAGCAATATTCATTTTATATAATAATTATTTATCAACAGCAATACAATACCAGGTGCACTAATTTAAATTAAAAGGGGAAAAACTTTCAGGTTATGTTAAACTATTAGGTTATGTTTGTTTGCATCTTTCATTTCTTGATGTGTCTAAATGATACCAACTGGGTTACAAAATACACTTACACTTCAATTGATAGAGAACCGTCAAATACTTTTTTATATTTGCAATTTTTTATATGTTTTGATTATTTAATTTTGTAGGTTTTACTAATTTTATCGAGATAAACAAAATTTCAATTCATACTTATGATAATTTTCATTATATTGAAACATTTCTATTTCATTAAAATAGTGTCGGTAATTGAAACAGTAGTAAAAAAAATAATAAGAAGTAGTTTTGTGGAATGTTGTTCCATACATGAACAAAGACTAAAAGCATAAATTTAATAAAAAAGCCAGAATAAAGTTAGTACAGTGTAATAAAATTATACCAATATTATAATCCTGTGCAACAGTTGTGTAAGTGGTTTTTATTTAAATGTTTATATTTGTTTCCTATCGATTAGTTAAAATGTCGGCAGCTTAGTTGGATTGAATTTTGGGATACAAGACCAGTCCGTTAATTATATATAGGTCTTTTGTATAATTAAATTCATTCGACATTCCACTCAAACTAACCCCCATTTTTTATTTAATTTTATTTGGCTGTAGGTACGTCACTATTATAAGACATGTATAAGGGTGATGCACTAAACCTACTTATAATCATTGGTTTTCTAATTCTTAAATATATAAAATGTACATTGATTAAATAATTTCAAAATATTTCTAACAACTTACGAATTAACGTGAATATATATTTTTTCATAAATATAGATTTCTTCTAGAAACATAATTTACCAACTGTTTGAGAATTGCATTTGGAAAAAGGCTTTTTGATTACTTTACAAGGTACGTTATTTTCGTTTCCTTAATTTTTTTAAACAACTGTCCCATTTGTTAGCAGAATGTCTTCAAAGAAAAGTACCAAAGGTAAAGAGAAAACTGACAGTAAAGTTTCATCAAAGTTACGAATGGATACTAAAATGCCTACTCCAAAAATAACAGGTAGATTTAAATAAAATTAGAGTTTTGTGCATATACCAGGGTTATATTGTTTGTTTCTATTATTTATTTTCTAGATCCTAGTTTACCAGCAGGAAGAAGACGAGAAATTGATAATGTAATGAAAAAAGCAAGAGCAACTCCAAATTCCACTGCTTGGGATAAAAAACTTCTTGAGGTTGAAGCTAAAGATCCAAACCGGTAAACTATCAAATTTCCTTCAAATTCTTTTATCACTATATTATTTAATCTCTAAAAAGGAATAATTTTTATTGTTCAATTTCATGATCTCAACAAGGTTATTTAGAATTGCTTGGTAATTACCTACATGGTTGTAATTTCAAAAATATTATCTTTGCTAACTAAAGAGTATAAGAAATTATTTATTATTAAAGTATTAAACTACAAGAAAAAATATTACTTCCTGCTTCTCGCCTTAAACAGCTGATAACAAACAACAAAAATTAGATGGGAAGAAAGTAAACGTTTTAAGATTTATGAATGTGTAATTTTAGGATAAAACTTTGCTGTTGACATTTGTGCGTTCAGAATAAAAAAATAAGCGATGGAATCTATCGTCTATTAGGTCTCTTGAGGTTTTTACAAGCTGGTGAACAATAAAAATATCGAGAAGCAATCCACGTAGAGAAACAAAAAAGAATTAAAATGGAATTTATCAGCCTTGGGAACTTCTTTCGGGTTTCGGGTAATCACCAGAGCAAATTTTGCGGGATTCTTTAAAAAAATGGGACTATTCTTATAACTCATCATAATAGAACCTATTAAACCAAAATATTTATCTTTATCACATTGATAAATAATTAATGCAGAATAAAGTTATTAAGCTTTCTAATTTAAGGTAGTTCTCTCAAAATTAATTTATCTAAAATAATCTTTGAATAAATCTATTTTGGGAAGACTCATTTTTTAAGCATATCACTTTACATTAATTTAAGATATTCCTGTGAATCCCACTTTGCTCTGCGTGCCTGTTATCAACGGGTCGTCGTTATATCGGCGGGTATCGAACGAGAACGCACACGTACCGCGCGGAAAACGATCATGTTAACAGGGGAATAAAATCGTTCTTTTATTATCCGGTTATGTGTTGTTCTTGCAGTTGGCGTCACAGCGGCTACAAGTCGCTCTACTTGGACGGCAGTTCGTCGCCGTCGCCGCCGCATCATCGCGGCGGCCGCGGTGGCGGCGGTAGCCGTTCGCGTTCGCCGGTCGGCGGTGGCAGTCGTAGGTCACCTCGGTCGCCGCCTCCGCCACTATCTTCGTCGTCGCGTAGGTCGCCGCCGCCGTCCGCACGCCGGCGTCCGTCGTCTCCGCCGACGTCGTCGACGCGCCGCTCGTCGCCATCGGTCGGCAGCAGCCGAAGATCGCCGCCTTCGCTACCGTCGTCGAGCGCGCGCAGCAAGAACGCTTCTTCCACCCACGGACGGCCGCGATCGCCGCGCTCGCCACCACCTCGCGCCGCCCCCGGGCGTCGATCACCGTCTGCCAGTTCGTTGTCCAGTTGCTCCGATGATTCGTGTTCCGTTTGTTCACCGAAGAACAGACGTCGTCGCGACGGTACACGACATGGAATACGATCCAGGTAAGTTACTTTCTTTTTATCTATACATATATCACACAATAGAAATTCCGCACAATGCTTCACCAGCTTTGTTTTCAATTTTCGAGAGCTCCTTTTTTACACGGCTCAAAAGCATCCTCATTATATTACGCCGAGTTTTGTGGCCTTTAAAACAATATCTGTTAACTACATATTATCTTTAGTAACCATTCGTCTACAAGTTTTCTCTCTGGTGTTCTGTATGTTTGTTCTATTTGATATTGCATCGTAAAAGGTCTTCCTTGATCTATAATGTCGTTTTTCACTTCTTTTCGTAAAGGTTTTACTATCATCTCGATTTCTCGTACTTTTTAATTTAAATGTTATATACGTAATACAGTACATTATGATAAACCGTTAAAAGGTACCATTCTGTACTGCCGCAAATAATGGTAAGATATGTCAGCCGTTCAGCTAATCCATCTACTGTAAAGTACAAGGTCTTGAGTACTATTATTTGTATTTTGCAATTTAGATCTCGTTCATATTCATCACCTTCACGTAATCGTTCCAAAACTTCAACGAACAAGCAGGCATCGTCCCCTAAACCTAGATCACGGCCCCGACCTCCGTCTCCATCACCTGTTTCTCGTCGTATGCCCCGACCAATGACACCACCAATACGAAGGTCTGCTTCATCGGATAAACCGAGAGATCCTAGGAGACAACCCCCTCCACCTAGGCCAAGGAACAGAGCTGGTGAAATAATTGACGTTTCTGGTGTCACTCCTCCTGTAGCAGCAATTAAAAAAGTAGTAAAAAAGAAAACTACGGAACCAGTGAGTCAAAAAACTAATATTAAAAGTTTTATATGTCGGTTTGCTTATGAAATAATACTATTAGGTAATGTTGAAACGAATAAAGAAGGAGCGTACAAACAAGCGTCCCGGTTCACCAGACTCCTCAGGGTCAGATGACAGCTCTGAGTCATCTGTCACTCCGATTGTGGCCACAACTCGTTTGACTCTATCCGAAAGGTTTGGGAAGATGGCACAATGGAGCATCGATAGGGAGCGAAGAGATATCGAGAACATGCGCATCACGAAGAACTCTAGCGGAGGTGATCTGAAAGTTATGATCGAAGAAGACGAGTACCTTTATGGAAGTCCGCCAAGAAGGTACAGGTACGAATATATCGCCTTTATTGGAAGTTTTCTTCTTAAATTTTAAACTTTAAAAAGCACATTTAGAAAACTTCTTTTCACTTATCCTTATAAATTGCAGTTGCATGACGACCACAGTGACTTTTAAACGTTCTAAAAAGTCAACAAAAATTGTTTGATTATTGATTAAAGTTTTCATTTATTTATTTTATTTCTTAAATTTACCTTAGTCATTCGCCAGTACCTCAAGGTCATTATCCTGACGAACTTTTGCCTTCGGGACCATCGGGTCTTGCATCGTGGGATGACGTGCGCGTGAGATACCAGTATTACAAAGATCTGGGTTACTTGAGGGACTTGACTCTCGACGATTATGTCAAATGGGAAGAATGGTGGTATAAATATCAAGATTGGCTTGCCAACGAAAGACACTACGAACATTGGCTGTCAATGCAAAGAAGGAGAAAGAAGAGAATACCTGCCACGCAACGATTAAATTAGATTTTTTTAGGTCATTATGAATTGAATGTGCTTATGAAATGGAAGTAATATGAGAGAAACTAAAGTACAGAAGCTAAATAGATATTATTTTGAAGAAAAGAATTATAAAAATTAATCTCCATGTATTTTAAAAGAAGAAAAGTCTGCGTCTAAATCTCAATACCATTAGTAACGGTGTATCTGGAATTATTTTCTCTCGTGTCCCGATGGAGGAGTAAAATGGGGTATTTTGTGATGTCTTCAGTCTTATAAAGACGGCTATTTAGCACAATATTTTATAAATGTATTCTGCAAAGATATTATATATTATTTTAGATGAAAATTTTCTTTTCATTTTCTTATGTTAGAAGTTTGTAACCAACGCTTTAGTTTTATTATTAAGATGACCATAAGTTAATAATTGTTCCGGACTTATCTGATCTATTTGAAGCTATTCATTACGTTGTACGTATTCATATTCAACATTTTTTTGTTCTTATTTTCTCTTATTTAAGATAGAATTTATAGGTGTAAGTATTTCTTTGAATATTATTAAATCAATGTAAATAAACAAACTATTGCAAGACGAAAAATTTAGTTTTAATGCGCAACGCGAAGCATAGTTTCTTGGGGAGACGAAAGTGGGTTAACGTGATCTTTAAAATTATCTTCGGGAGAAATGCCTCTGACCTTTTCTTAGGCATTTCTGTAATTACCGTTTGCGAACTCAGTAACCATGTGATTTACGTTACGACACTGGGAAAATGTAGGGGAGGTGTTGACATATATATCATTTACAACATGAGACTTATCTCAAAGTTTAATAAAGTTATTGGTCTAGTTGGCTGTTTTGACAGGACTTTAGTATTTGGGGTAACGCCCATCTAGATAATAAGTAGAGGAAGAACGGTAAAAGTCCCTCATGATGGTAACCCCCCCCCCTGTTTAAATCTTTTGAGCCTTTTGTCATTACAAATGTATGGGAGATGACTTAACTGTAATAACCTAGCTATGCTAAACATATAGCTTCAATGAAGCTAGAATAGCAACATTAACCTCCCAGCTCGCTCGTGAATATTATTTCTATATATTTTGCGTGGAAATAAAAATGAAAAACAGTGCAAGACAATGGAAATGTTTGTATTTAAACTCTTAGGTTGTTTTGATGTCTATATATATAAACTGTTAACAATAAATTCTTTCAAAGGACTGGGTGCAACAAAATTATTTATTGACAAGTATTAAAACGAAAAATTATTTTTTAAATGTAGATACTGCCGAGGTTTACAATATTTATTTAATATATTTATAAAAGCACGTAATAATTAAAAAGATTGCTGGTAATAGTATTGCCAGTATTACAAATTACAAAGCAATTTTTTTGTTTTGTTTATTTTCTACAACTGCCAGGCCTTTAATTTTATAACATATTTTTTTTTTAAACCAACCTATTAAGTAGGTACATTAATGAAAAGTGCTTGTAGTCTTCATGTTTTAACATTTTTTTACCAACATACTTAACATCACAGAGTCTTTATATTCTTCCATTAGGCTATGGAAGCTGAAAAATTAAAATCATGGGTAATCATCCTAACATCTTATTACTTTAATAATATCTTTTTGTTTTCCGATGTATAATAACAAATTCATCTACAGGTGCAAATATGAAAACTTTGCTATAGGCACTCTTTTTTTTTTTGTTTCTTTTAAGTGAAGGTATACATCGCGCAGAAATCGTTTCTTTGAAAATTATTTTAACAGATTTACTTTAAAATGCCATACTGCTATAAGTGTATTTTATGGCAATAACCATAGGAAATTGATCTTCACTCATATTTATAGAATAAATGTTGGTACCAGTCTAAACAAAAAATGTATATTTTCACAATTTGTTATCAAAGTTTGATTAACTTATGATTAATGGTCTGAAACTTGCATTTTGTTGGAACCTATTTATTTATCCTGAAAATATGAATGAATTATCCTACTGAGACCGACTTGGAAAAAAATTAAGTATGGTGACATTTTTCGTCCCACATATGTTTTAAACAATTTATCTGATCATTAAATGTATTTTACTTTATCTCATATGCATATTCTATAGATTATAGATATCAATTACTTATAATAAAAATTTTCATTGATATAAAATTGTAAGTGTCGTACTTTTAACATCGGTAAACAAATCTTTTAATTGATTAACATGGGAATAAAGGTTTTCGAAATAACAATAATAATGATAATAAAAATTAACTACTTATTTCATAAAACGAGTCTTATGCATCTAACAAGTATTATAATGTGCCTATACACGTATATATACTTTGTCTTATTTTTTCTTTTATATATTACATAAGTACTATATAATTCGTATTTTTATACACACTGTTACAGCACAAAAAATCCGGTGTAGAAAACATTTTAACACGGCTACGTATTTATGTACTAAAAATGTATTTACAGCACTTATATGTATACATTGCATAATATACGCGAATTAACAAAATTTACATCTAAACATCATTTTTTTTCTTTTACCAATTTTAATTATTAATATAGTCTTGAAAATTGTCAAAGCCAGGCATTTTAAATAATAAAATATAGGTATACCACACCACGAATGTCTTTCTAAAGCAACTCAAAAAAATTGCACCAATTTATTTTAATTTACTTATTTGGATACTTTAGCAAAATTTGACACAGTACTTACAGAACATATTCATGTAAATATAATAATTTTATGATTTATTGTGAAGGGCATCAATGGTACTGCTATCAATTTTGCAAAAAATTTAAAAATGTTATAACATATCACATTTTCATTTTATAATATCTTACAAATTTTTAATCAGCCCTATGATGATCACCATAGCTAACTACAACGAATTAAAAATGGTCAATACTTACTGAAATGAATAAATAATTTCTAATGCATTTTAGCAAATTTATCTAACACAAATAGTACGTCTATTGTGGCATTTATTACTCTCATTGTCCAGGGAAACTTCTCAAATTCGTCACATTTTAGTTTCTTTTTTTTTTTTTTATAAAACAATAGGTACAATAAATTTTATATTACTTATACGTATATATAATAAGTCATTTATTATAGCTTTGGTGTTTTTTCAATGTTGTACGTTGTTAGTAGCGCCCCCTTTTTTTGAATTCGAAAATGGATTTATTTAATAATGTTTGAGATAGAATAAAAAAAGCTGAAGCACTAACCTACCCCTAGTCAAGAGTTTACAGGTTAAGGGATTATGTATTTAATAAATGCACTAAAACCCTTACATATGTATTTTCTGTAGATGTTTTTTGAATTATTATTTTTTTCAGTTACATAAATACAACTACGGTGACCATATTAAATCGCTGGGTACCATTATGTTTATTATTGCCTCAGTAAACATGCCTTTTTTTCAATTATAAAATCAATATTTTATTGCTATGAGATATATTTATATTATTTGTTTATCTGTTATTGAAATTTACACATAAACCTAATTAAATCAAGATTTTAATGCATAAATTAAATAGTGATGGGCTTTCTGGTAGTATATATAAATATCTTATAAAAAATAATTAAATATATGAATAGGGTCCATCGGTAAGGGCGCTACAAAGTAATAGTCAAGAATTATCGTCTTTATTAGATCCTCCGCCTCCTGTGCCACTACCCTGGCCTACCCCATTCCGACCCCTTACTTGCTTATAAGCAAGTCCAGGATCGAACTGCATTAAAACGAAAACCTACGAAATAAAAAGATTACATATCTATGCTCATATTTACCACAATTGAAACATTCATTCTCACTGATGACCAGAACAAAATATTAATTTATTAATTACTAGTGATCCGCCCCAGCTTCGCACGGGTGCAATGGTGATACTAAATATATTTTTGTTTTGTTTAGATTATTATCGAAAAGGGGAAATCTTCAAAAGAAATCCCCTGAACATACTAAATATACTACAGAATGTCTTTATATACAACATTCACAGCTTTTTTGTCATTAGACAATACAAACCGGCCTCCCGGCCGGTACCGCCGCAACCGCTATGTCCCTGCATTTTAAATCTGTAATATCTTCGAAAATATTCATTTAAATTACATGCTGTAAAGGGCCATATTGATCTATATTAAATGCACAATGTATTTAAGGTACTTAATTGGATAAGAATTAATGCTGTATTGCCTACAATCGCTTCGTAAATAAGTCATTATTTCTCATAAAAAGTAAAGGATAAAAATGGTTATTGTGGGTTATCCCTAAGAGATAGACATATACCATCGCGGACTTTTTTGTAGACCCTTTTAAGATGTACAATATTGTAGTACATTATTTTGATCTGTCTCGTAGGGTTCAGCCAGCGTTTGCAATGTAAGCGCAAAAAATGTGTTTATTTACGACATCACATTAGAAACCTCTAAAATTATCGGTGTTTCCCTACTATATTATGCTTGTATTATACATATAAACCTTCCTCTTGAATCACTCTATCTTTAAAAAAAAACGCATCAAAATCCGTTGCTTACTTTGAAAGATTTAAGCATACATAGGGACAGACAGCGGGAAAGCGACTTTATTTTATACTATGTAGTGATTAAGTGTATCTAAAAATTTATCCAAAACAATAAAATGGTACTACTACTTGTTCTTTAAAGCCCCCATAATAAAATTTTTGATAGAATGGCCAACAATATAACTAACAAAAAGAAATAAAATTCTTACTTGGTCCGATGGCAGCAATTGAAAATCGTCTGGAGGATTGGTAATGACGTATCTTTTGCTACTAGCGTCGCATGAATTGCTAGTGTCGCGAAACCTGTAAAGGCCAATGCAAAGCATACCATATTGCTTCAAGGCGGCTACGAAAAGGTCCCCATACTTTCCACCCTCACCGAATTGAGCAAGTGGTCCATCATACAACGAAATCTGACCAACGCGACATCTGTCTCTATTCGATAAACTTTCGGGAGTGCTGAAATTAAGTTTATTAAATTTTATTTTATTAAAAAATTTTTTAAGTCACAGTAAATCGTGTACTGTTTGGATTTTACCTGTATCCTCCTCTTAGGCCAGCACCTTCTGCCAAAATTAATTCCAGTTCTGGCGTTGCTCCGCCAGTTATCAAAGATCTAATCAGCGTCAAGGCATTTTGGTTAAAATAAGTCTGGGTAGGTAAATCATAAAAAGAAGTAAATAGTATAAATTTTCAAATTTATTGATGGTGTTGCTTCAAATCTTACCGTTGACATGAGTGAATCGAGTACACTGACCGCAAAAGCAGTACCACAAGCAAATGGTTGAGTCAAGTACAGTTCAGTGTCAGGATCATCATCGTCATCTTGGTCCAAGAACTGAACATTGCTATCGTTGACAAGTTCTACAGACAAGATAAAAATATATAGGTAGCTGATTAGATAGTTAATTTAAAACTTAAACTCATTAATAACAGCATTATCTATCGAAAAATTTTATGGTCAAATGTTTAACACAAGATTCCTTTAAACATCCAATAGGAATCCACATTCAAATATCAGTTTGATAAGTTGGAATACTTACCTGTTATCATTGGTACATTAGCTCCATAAACCGATCCTCTCCTTTGAAGGACGATGGGACTACCAGCCTGACCATTACCATCGTCACTGACTTGACTTAAGACTCCTATGGTATCATCAAATGTCATAGCCTTAATATTCAAAGAGGCCAAAATGGCCTCCTTATCAGCTAAAGTAGGATCGTCGTTGCTTGGTACCTTTGCCGAAAGGATGCAACACATATCACATAAGTTTACATTCACAGCTCTGAGATCGGCCCTGCTCAATGGCGAACCCTTTAAAAGTGATAACGTTTTCAGAAACAGTATTTTGATTTTGACCTTATGTACATACGTTTAGAACAGAAATTTTTGGTAGATTCTGAAGCATCTTCCACTCGCGACGAATGTACTCTACTGAACCAACGATAACAACATGTTTGAGTTCATGGTAATGGAAATTGCTAGCCCTTAACGGCATTACAAGATTTCTTAAACCTATTAAAGGGGAATCTGGATCGGCAAATAAACAAACCACCACGTGGCCGTTCAGGACCGTCATTGCTGCCTGATTTCTGTCCTGTTAAGAAGAAAAACAGCCAAATAGAAAATTAATTAAATATGTCCTTTTTAAAATAATAGGCAGAAGAGGGGGAAGAGTATAAAAAAAGTAGATGCATTAGAGAGAAAGATTGAAAAAATTGTTACAAGAAATCCATCACGTGAACCAAAGAAGGTCAAAATTGAAAAAGGTCCCACATATATTTTTGTTATATTTCTTTCAAGTTCCATTTGATTATTTTTAAAAACTGTTTAGAAATATTAAACAACTGCATCATATTTGCAACGGGAAAAATAAACTTTTAAGGATGTCCTTATAAAATAACATTGTCTTTTGTTTAAATACCATATTTTTACAATATTTTCGAAATATTTTGATGATGATACCGTCAGAAATTGAAGAAAAATACCCAATTTGTCAATATGAAGCAATGAAGAGTGGATATCGTTCATAAAGACACCAAAGGGCTCAGTGAAATTTGGTCGTTATAACTAGAGATGTGCAAAATAGTTTTTCTACTTTTACGTTATAATTTCTTAAGTTCAGCAGCAAATAATTCTTCTATATGCTTCCTTATTTACCTTTGTCACCTGTTTTAATTGGAAAAAAGACACTGATGCCAAAATAGGGTTGCAAATGCAAGATAAATGCATGTATTTCAAATAAATCTCATCTGTGGTTATAATCACAGTCTCAATATCTAAACGCCATGATATAATACTCAAATCTAGTTCTTTAAAAAAAAAACAACAAGAATTCATTCCCAACATACAAATGTAGCAAACAACTTTAGCATTTAAATTAATATAATTTGTGTCGGGGATCTTGAAATTTGGTCGCAATAGCCGCTATCTCGTTATAAACGATATCTACTGTATGCCATTATTACCTATTATTATTAATTGACTTACCAATAGACAATCTTCTAAATTTTTAGCAGGACTCCAATGAAACATACCCGTACTGTCGTATTTCATTTCTGTCTTTTCAAAATCGAAATCTTTTGCTTGATCGTCGGCCAAACCAACCGGTAGGGCAACGCCATTGCTGTTTTGGTTATTACCGCCGCTACTTCTACTAGTTGGCCTACAATACATTGTTATCAATATGAATATCAAACCTTGATCAGCCTGGCACTTCTTCGTCGGATACGTTTTTTTTTTGTTAGTTTGCAACAGCAGAATAGATATCTATATGCATTTGATTCAGCATAAAAAATCTGATCGATTTTATTTATCGATCAGAAAGATAAATAGTTAAATTCTCTAGCTTGTGTAGGCAAGAGCTTTTCTAAACTAACTGTAGTAGCATTACACTTCTAAAATCTGATTGAACTGACTGAAGTATTTATTTAGTTTTTGAATTTTTTAAAGTATATGTATAACGCAAACACCTTGTAACATTAACATATTTTTAGAAACTAGCTTTCATTAAGGGCTAGTTCTTATGTTTTTTTTTTTTATTTTATAGAAAGCACTTCATGCAAAGCATTTAACAGCATAACTAAGGTATTAATATTGTATCATACATCACATACAGAACTACTTTAATTAGTTAAATTATTTAGAACCAAAGCAAACTTAAAAAACTCAGTACCTATTCATAACGATCAAATAATTTATCATTTAATATAAGAGAAGGGAGAATACAGAATGTTCTTTTTATGTACTTCTAATGATACTAGCGTTGATAATCAACGTAATTTAAATAATATGTTGTATTGTATACAGTCACAGTCACAACTGCTTTGTTGTAATTTTGTAATATTATATTAAAATTAAAACTCTGACAGGTACAAGTGTAATCCAAGTACAAGTTTGTCCCTTTGAAATTGAGAGTTACCGTAAATACGATTATTACTGACAAGGCGATTAATTTTATCTGCATATCTGCAAACTCACTACTTTTTGACTTAATTTTCAGACTGAATACAAGGTAGAATTCAATTCCTTATTAAATTCTGAGCTGTTTTGTTGTTCCTTAAAGGTTACTGAGGAATTATCAATTGAAAAGGGAACGATTTCTTAACCAATCAGAATACTCTTTCATTGCTGCTTACTACTTACATTAGTAGCAAAAGTAGCACACTCTGATTAGTTAATTACTTCAAGATTGTACGTTAAATATAAAATCTGAAAAGGATTTTTGTCGAAGAATCAATTGAGTATAAAATTTTATCAGACGGATTTACAATTTCTTCGACTCCTTACCTAGAGAAAAATTCTCTAATCTGTCACACACTCGCCGGGAATCGAACACGAGACCTTTGACTGACTCTATGCACCAGTACTCAGTCAGTATACTACGAGAGGTGACGTACTTGGAAAGTCACAGAGTCGTCGATATTAATGGATGTATATTTCTATACATGTATATGTATATTAATATTAATACTTAACAAAGTTTTTACTTTTAGTACGTTTCATCGTTGTTACTACTGTCACCTCTCGTAACTTAGTGGCAGAGCACTGGTGCGTACAAAGACAGGTCTGGTGTTCGATTCCCGACGAGGGTGTGACAACAACAAAAATTTTTTCCACATTAACTTAAGGTAATCTGTAACGTGAATAACTTAAATTGATTTCACATTAATGTTTGGAAAATTTTTAAAATATTAACCGCTACTAAAAGTAGAAACTTTCTTAAAGTGTTTTTTTTTTAAGGAAAAAGAAGTATATGCATACACATTTAGTTGGTTATTAACGAATGCTAGAGCACAGAAAAACAGGAGATAGCACAAAATTAGCAGCAACAGAGACAGACAAAACTGTCAATAGAAAAAAAAGCAAAAGCGTACATGAGTTTTTTGACTTCATAGGCAAGATGATAGCCGGCGTAACTTGTTGTGTCCTGTTCCGGCGGCGGTCTGAAAATAGCAAAGCAAAAATAGCACCACACCACATATCGTCAAACTGATTTTGAAAGTAAACTTTGCAGTCTCTAATTAATTTATTAAGAGGTGTATAAATATGTATGTGTACGATTGTGGCAGAAACTTAGCAAGCGTTGCTATTCAATCAAATTTTAATTACGAATAGAAGAACGCAGTGGTGCAACGAAGAGTGGGGGGAGCGATTTGCTCCGAGACCCGGGAGTAGGGTTGCCGGGAGTAGGGTTGCCATCCGTCCGGGTTTCCCCGGATTTGTCCTAGTTTAGAGGGCCGCCCGCCACACACGTAAAAGAAATCTAACTGATTATTAAAACAATTTGTAACAAACTGTAATAAGAGTAATAAGAATACAGACCACTTCGAATTATTTTATAAGATTCTGTTTTGTTAGGTACATTGAAAATGATGATAAAGAATGACTAAATTTAATTTTAAGGTCCGAAAATAAATAAAATGGTGATTTATGACATTTTCAACTGTTTTTGGTTACACTGATTATGTTTAAAAAAACCTGTTGACATATCGTGGTTCTGGACTCTAAAATCTGGGGTTTTCACGCGACTTGTCCTGGTTTCCAAATTTTAGAGATCGCAACCCTACCCGAGAGGGACCCCTTTAGACCTCGAAAGGGATTCGTTTGTTAAGTGCAAGAACTTACAGAAATATAACAAAGCTGTAAACATTTTCATTAGTTTTGTACAACATTTGTAACAAAATATTCGCGAAAAAGGAGCACGGTTACTACATTAAGAGTCACCTAAAACCGTTACACTTCCGCATCCGCAAAAATTTACTATTTATTTCTGTTTCCGCTTCCGTTATTACACTACCGTTGCATCGCTAGTCACCAGTGTGAGAAATTTTGTTCACAAACAATTTAAAGTCGTTTTTTCGTGAAGAAGAGGGATTAAAAATATGCATACAAATGTAGATTAGAAGAAGTTGATTAATTAAGTCGCTTGTTTTCTAATTGTTTGAATAACAACGCTCACCGATGATGGTTGACAAAGGTGTTGCATTATGCCGTTTGTAATGTAATACATTTAAATATTTATGTATTGTGCAGTTACGAGTTTGTAAAATAATGCTAGATGTGTAGATGTTTGTGAAAGCTCTCCCTTATCTAAAAAAGAAACACGTCACGCAATTATTGAAAATGTTTGCAAAACAGACAAACTTACTAAGGAGCGCTAGTGTGTTGACCCAATATCAAACTAATTGTGTGGACTAGGTTATTCACCAAATAACTTGAGCTAGCATCTCTACTGTAAAATTATTAAGGTAAGGATAAAACAGTGGCGACTATTCCGATGAAAACCTCTAGAGACACGTAAGAAGAACGAATAGGGTAGAAAAAGATTTACGATTAGACTATATTATTGTTCATAAACAGTAAGGGATGCTTGATGCCCGGATGTTACTATGAGATTATGTAAGGCTATCTTTTCCAGCGGAGCTGCCTGCGACGCGCTGATGAGATCCAAAGAGATCGAAATCGCGATCCGCGTCTTGGCAGTTTCGACAGAATACAGACCACTTCGCATTATTTTATATCTTTTCCATGTTCTAGTTTTAGGGAAATGAGAAAATTAGTTCAGGATAGTAAAGAATGAAATTAGTAATTGGACCACACGTAATCTCTCATTAATCTCACCACAGCTCAATGTCAACTTTTATCACCAACACGTATTGATCTTTTGGTCAATGTCCTAGTGCCTAGTTTGATACCTGATCAATTCTAACACTCTTTAGTAAACATACTTCTGTGCTCAATAAGGATTTTTTATGAAATGAAAATGCATCTTACGTGGCTTATGTAATGAAAATTCACTCCAAACATTTTGATAAAGTTTATTAGTTTGAGATTGAGGTGCTGTAGAATGTATAGGTAGGTGTGCTTTGAGATAGGTATATTAAAGTTGTAAATGCGAATGTGTAAAATGGAAATACTATTTTAAAACAGTTCATTATAAAAGTTATTTTTACTTTGGAATTGTCTTGGTAAAATGGAAAATAATAAATAATGTATTATACGAGAATTTCCAATAAAATCAACAAACTGTAATTGTCACTTGTCTTAAATAAAATATACAGTTTTGAAATGTATAAAAAGAGCTTTGTTGGATTATACTAATTTTTTTAATTGACATGCTTTACGTAATTTTTGTTAATCACAATTTGTTAATCGCCAAATTGAAAAGGAAAATACAATCAATGTTAGTTTGCGAAAAATATGATTGACCACTAAAATACTTTTTGTATAGTTTAGTATAAAATTGAAACAAGGAAATAAAATTTTCTCAATTAAAATTAAAGTAATAAGAAATCATGTAAAGTAACAGCTATGGTAAGAGATTTATAAACTATATTGGGTGTGTTCCGAAATATAACCCAGCATACTGACCAGTGCTGATGACGTAATGAATCGACGCCATACGCCGTTCCGAAATATACTGGTCAGTGCGTTGACGTCAAATTGACGACATATTGATATTAGTGTTTATGCTCGTTTACAACAATTTTGCTCCAAGAGTTATTTAAGTTTCTTGCAATAAAAGATTCCTCATAGTCTGATGCACGCACGCCCGTTTGATATACTACTACATCACATTTGTCTCACCAGTACAATATGATCGACGCCATATTGTACTGGTCAGCTGCTGGCCATATTGGCACTGGCCAGCATGTTGGGTTATATTTCGGAACACACCCATTGTCATATATAATGTTGAAGGACAATAATCCCTCTATTTTGAGCTTTGTAGGTACTAGGTACAAGTGACTTTCAAAACACAACACAACGTGTAGTTTTATTAATACCTAAACCGCCACTTTACATAACTTAGACTACATTTTTATTTTATGTATTGTATTTTAAATCGATAATGGAATAAGTAAAAATTGAAAACAATATAAAATTCTTACCGTCCATTTACACCAGGAGAGGTAGCCGTTTCGTTATTGTTTCTATTCACATTTGGCTTTACTTTGTTGACTTGCTTAGTTGAATTCACCATATTTGATGTCGGAAGTGTATTGGCAGGCTTCGTCACATGGTTCCGACGATTTACTAAAATATTTTAAATAGTTACATGGATAAACAAACAAAACACTCGGTTAGAATCACTTATATAGACATAGGAGTTACTTTAGTAATTGTTTCGGTAATTATACAATTTTCAAAATCTGAACTTAAACACAGATTAAATCGCTTACCTATATTTTTAAATCCTAACTAATATGTATTATAAATGTGAATCTGAATTTTGTTTGTTTGTTACTATTTCACGCCTTAACTGTCCAACCGACTATCATTAAATTTTGTACAGAAATTGTGAGAAATACAGAATAAAACATAGGCTACCTTTTATCCAGAAAAAAATACACTGTTCCCGAGGGATAGAAACAATTAATTTTATGTGATCTTTGACAGATATTTAGGAAATCAACGCGAACAAAGCCGCTAGTAAAACCTAGTACTGATATAAATAGTTTATGGTTAACAAGGAGTAATTACCAAAGTATTTTCTAATATAAATAATACAAAACTTCGAAAAGTTCGAGGCCATTTTAAGAATAGTACATAATAAAAAATCCAAAAAATTCAATCATTGCAAAGCAGAATATTTCATCTGCATCTACGATATCAGTATTTAAATGTGAATACCAAAATTCAAAAAGCCCTTTGAACACCTGGGATCTGGCTGCAGCCCCATCAAATCTTATTTTTGCGTCAGTCCAACTCTGTCTATACTTAAGTGAGACTAACCCAGTATTGCAAGTAATTTTATCTATTCGATTACTAGAAAATAATTTGGAAACTTAAAATTGCAATATGTACTTACAATTCATATCGTCGTGTCTTGTGATATCACCTGAAAAAAAGCAAATTTTGCATTTCAAAACAGACCTTTCAGACGGGATAAAACTACTCGTTAAATTACTTGATCAATTAATTACTCATATCAAATCAAATTTTGTCTAACTAATACTGTAAGTAGGTATACTTGTAAGCCGCAGTTTTATTTTATAAGAATGCTTTGTTCATTCAAACAATATAATGTTTTTACCTCTAACATGCACTTTCTTTGGTAATTCGGGTGGAGTAAATGTTGGAGGGGGGTGAAGTTCATCTGCAAACACAAATAATTTTCTAGGACGACATATATTGAAACTAAGACACCAATCTAATAGATACTCAATGCTCTAATTAACCTATTATTAAACATTTGAAAGCGTTTTTACAACTAATATGTAACACGGTATTGACTCTTTTTTTCTTTTTTTGTTTACTTTTAACATCATAACTACTAATTATTATTGTTAAGCCTGCATTAAATGACGACTACATGAATAAATAATTTCAGATTTGCAATTACATATTTTAGAACTATAAATTTACTGTTTACGAAAAGTGAAGCTGTGGCAAGACTACAATTGTTACTTTCGTTATGGTATAATATTCGGTTTTATATCTTTTGAGATCAATAACGATCCTAAAATATTGATAAAAAATATAATTCTGAAAAAGATCGATCACCCAAAACAATACAGCACATGCAAAGAATTCGAAGACACGCTTGCAGTGTAACAGCACAGCATACATGCAAAGAAATTGTGCTCAATAAAAGGGGGTAGAAAACTACGTCATGCAAATTATCAGTTAAAAAGATTTAAGAAATTCTAAAGTGGGTTGTAGTCCATGGGCGTAATCATCAGCTTGGTACTTGCGGCTAGGTACTGTCCCAGCGACTGTTTGGACTATATCTTATAAGTTACTAATAAAAATTAAATATTGGTATGGTTGACAGCATGACACGGCCTCTGGATAAAATCGTGAGTACGCCCATGGCGTATGCAATTGTGTTACTTAATAAACGACCATTTTTATACTCTTGGGCCGTTTAGACTGGAGTCAGGCCCAGCAACACGATGGGGCCGTTATCTTTAAACTTACTTGACAGTAAATGTGTGTAGTCCTCACCTGTAGCCCAAGCAAAATCGATAATAGAAAATAAATCAAACAATATACCCTCAAAATTAATGAAGTGGTCGGGTGTAATTGAAATTGTAATGAAAAATGGAGATACTGACGCGATTCCGTGATTTTAATTGTTTTTAATATTACGTTATATGTAACTTACTGCGTGCCTAGTTACTCATTAAAAATCTCTGTTGGGATTTTACTTAATCCTTAATTAAAAATTATTACCGAGAAAATTTAAAATTAAGGGCTTTTTCAGACGGTGCCATTGCGATGCGATTTATCGCAACGTTATCGTGAACCCTCAACAGTTAAAATATGATTGCAATATTTAGGATTAAAACGTCGACTTTTGTTTCTGATAATTTCTTGTCTCTTCCTTCGTCTTTAATGTAACAAATAATACGTATATTATCTATAATGTGAGTACGAGACAACATATCGCAAACGGAAAATCGCATTGCAAACGCACCGTCTTCAAACGCCCTTAAATATCAATTTCTTTTTAACTGAAGTACTCCAACAACTTTATTAGGCATTTAAAAATTAATTTTGTGTTTTTTAAGATTGCGGATACTATAGCAGTACTGTCTTTTTGTAGGTAACAATGCATCCAACAAAAACTCTTACGATGAAAATAATATTGTAGATTTCCTATATTTGTTTTTCTTTTCGTTGATTTATTATGCTTTAAAATGAATTACTTCATGCATCTAATCGTAAAATTCAAATGATACGTTGCTGACGATCTTTATGAAATTTGGTATTTTATTAATTATGTGTAATTACACTAAAATTTTGTTTTAAGAATAACGTTGAAGTTTAAAAAATTTTTTGAAAATCCTTTTCTAAAAAACAATGCTACAGAACACCAATACTAATCTGAACAAATCACAACAATCAGCTATCACTAGCACATCAATAGTAATAATAATAATAATAATAATTATTGTTGGATAAAGAACTGTTAAGACATTGAAACTGTGTTAAAAGACTGGTTAGATGCGACAGTAACAGTAAGAAAAATAGTTACACTTGTTTGTGTATCAACGCACATACTGCATTTTTAAAATTGTCGTTAAAATTGTATTGTAAATTGACAATATGTAATATAATACACCCATTATATAAGTATACATACATAAAGTAATTATAAGTTATAATTATTTGAAAAAAAAAACGAGACATTATGCGTTGTACAGATTCTCTGCGAGGCTCAATAAGGATATATTTTACAAACGTAGGCATTTGAAGGAATAAGTTAGGGTGGATTACAAAAAATAATGATTTTCAGTAGGCTACATAATATTTTTTTATCTAGGTACGGGAAGAGATGGGTGAGGAGAGAAAAGTGATACAAGCTTTTAATCTCCTTATCTCACGATTGTCACTGCATAAAATTCTTTTATTAATATTAAAAGAAAAAATAGCTATACAAACATCATATACCCTACAATGTAAGCTGTAATAAAAAAAATGTGTCTCCCCCGTCTTAAATATAATTATTGAACCCTCAGAAATGACCAAAAATCCATAAAATTTGGAACTATTTTGGTCTGGAGCTCCAATTATAGAAATTGTATGAAATTTCGATATTGTACTAGGAAATGTATAAAACTAATGCTTTCTGTGATTAAATACTCTAACATATCAGCCCGGGCAGGGACATTAAATGAACCCCATTCGTCACCAATGCAGGTTTATCCAGAATTGGGACAATTTTGAAAAATTATCATTCGAAAATTTTTTTTTATTTATTAAGTCATAAAAACTGTCTGCCCCACCCTCTAATATCTACTGTTATTATGTAGAATGGCCGGAAATTGATGAAAAAATTTTTAGAACAATTTTTGGTCTGAAGCCCCAATTCTGAACAATTACCAAAGATACTTAAAGATACTTAATTGCTAATCTTACATTTTTTTTATCAATTATAATACCTATTGGTATTAGAACAGAATATGTATGATGTGAGAGAAAAGATACACAAGAAGAGCCCCGCAGAGTGTCGAAGAATGTGAGTACTTTTTAGTAAAAAGATAGAAGTGAATGCAAAAAAGTAGTGATTTGAGAGTTTTGTATGGTACTGAGTGTGCGAAAAAGTACGTACTTGCCCGGCCAACCATTTGAACAGCCCGCACGCCTTTCCGGAAAGTAGCCACTGTGCAACCAATTACAATGAGTTAGTAAGAACCAAAACATTGCCAACTAATTTCCGTAATCGCCTATTATTGAAGTTATACTTCTTTTGGCGCGACGCGAGTAAAATTTTAGCATGCAACGGATGTTGCGCGCGCAGCTCGCAACTGTCCACAGCAAAACTACCAGCTGTCAATTATAATCGGCAACGTTTAAGTAAATACGTGTATATCGGCTAAGTAAACATTTGTAAATAGAAGTATAACTTCTATCGCGTGTACGTAAGTACACACACCTATTGTTTATATTAGAAAATTACCCTCCCACACCCCTACACCTCCTGGATTCACCTGTATTAATAAATTTTTAACGAGACTGTAGATTGATGCAACAATAGATTATATCGACTGCCTACATCATAGGCCTGAGAAAATAACAAAAGAGTTTTGTAGAAAAAATTTAAAAATGGAATATTTCCTGTGATTATTGTTATTGTTGCAACACACTATGCGATTATTTTTAATCAAGACCTCCTGCAGGAAGAAGAAAGTTAAAGAAAATGCTGCTATCTTTGTCGTTGATGTAATAACAAAAGGGTATTATTAAATCAATATTTGGTTTTTAAACCTAAACTTTAGGGAATTTTTTAAAAGACGAATTAGCACAGTTTGTTTCTATTTCTTTTCTTCTTGGATAACGATTGAGGAATTCTATTAATACAATGAATAATAATAATAATAATAATCTAGCACAAATACCAATTATACTCCAGCAGCCTAGCATAAAGAGCACACATTGCATGCCATTTATTTATATTCATTTGCTTGTGATTTTTTTTATTTTTATACAGTGAATAAAGTAGATAGATAATTTAATAACGATATTTGAAGACGACGATTAATTGTAGTTTGTGTTGTACGAAAAAAGCAATAGATAAAATAAGCATGATACAAGGAAGGTATTACGCCTACCCTCCAATTGTCTCGTAAAGGAGGTTCTAATACTTTGTATCACCATGCCCGTCTGCATCATCATCATTCCCACATCTGCAAAAGTAGAAAACTTGCAGGAAATGTAAAAACATTCACTGAATTTTCATCGATCGTTCTCCCTATGTATCAAACACATATTTTCTCGTTTCAACTTCATTTATTAAACGATTGAACAATAGTGTCGTAGATATACAGTATTTAAATTATTATTATTTTTTACCTCTACAAAAGGATGAAAAGTTCAATAGAGTTTAGTCATGCAAGGGGTGTGCGAATGGGTCTTGTGTACAGTGAAATTAACCATTCCTTTTAATTAATTAGTTTTACCAGGCATGTAATAGTAGTAAATAATTTCAGCAACCAAAAAAGTTTGTTTTCCAAACAGGCCCCTGATAAAAAACTATAAGTAATTTGTATGGCGGTACCATGGACCACGAAATAATATAGGGAGGGAGCATAAAGTGTGATTATAGAATCGTTCTTTATAATATAATTTAATACGTATATTAAAATCCGTCAAAAAGCAATTAAAAAGAAATGTTTGTCACTTCCACTGTCTACAGTGTTTATGACGTAAGACGCATGCGCTGTACGAATAGTCAATTGAATTTAGGCGCAAGATTCCCTGTTCTCTGTATTTCCTCCACCCTTTTGTTTATACTCCGTCCCTATATTATTCCATGGGTAGTCGAATTTGTCATGAATTCTTGTAGGTAATACGAATGAAATTTTATTGATTGTACTGTAGTTTAATGTAATAGAGCTAGTAGAATTAGAAAAGTGTCTCATTATGTAATATGTTTTTAGTTTTTTATCAGTTGTCCTAGGTAATGTAATTAAATGTTTTAAAATTACAATAATTCTCTATAGTCAAGGTTGATATTCTTCTACAGTTTCAGTTCACTAAAAAGTGATAAAAACTGATGCAATGCGTGAAGTTTAATGCTTTTCAATAATAATAATAATAATAGTAATAGGTCTCACAAAGTAGCTTTTCTCATGAAGACAACGAAAGCGGTCTCCTGTACATAACTAAGGACTTTTTTGAAAACAATTAGGAATATTTAACTATTTAAATAGCAGGCCTACGAACGGCCCTTATATCTGCAATCTTTACGTATACCTAATCAACACTAATTCAATATAAAAATTTATTTTATACAAGTGATTTTGTCTTCATAAGAAAAAACTACCGAAATATAGAAGAATTGTTCATTCAGGCTGAAGCAGATCTAGACAGACCTATGCTGAAATGAAAATCAAGTTACCTATGTCATGTGACCATTTACGTTGTTGTACTGCCACTAAAAGCCACCACAGACAGAAATTCGTGTGAGGATTGATAACAATTAACATTTGGAAAAACAATAGAAGGTAATAAATGTTCAAAGCTTTTCAAAAGAACTGGAGGCTTTCAATATTGTTATGCTTCTACAACTTTTTAATACAGACAAGAAAAAGAAAACATAAAAACTTGTGTTGCTGCCAGTGTACATGTCATATTGACACTGTATCAGTATTTTGTTTTTATAAATGTATTACACTTTTGTAATCGATCAAGGTAGGCAATGATAGAAACAAGGTACAATATACTTGGATATTCAGCCACAATATAAATATAATATAGAATATTGTTGATGGAAATTCCTTGTTAAAATGAAGTATAAATATAGAAAAGTAATAGAGGAAAATTAAAAGGCAATACTTACAATTTTTACATTTACACTTCTTTATTAACGTTTCGTCCTTTATTTGTTCATGACAAGCCTTACAGTAGTACCAAGCCCTGTAAAGAAATAATTCAAATACATTGAAACTTGAAGTAAAATGGTTTGTCTAAAATTTCCGCGCATAAAAAATAATTTCTTCTACAATAGATAAAGGTACTAAATTGAGAAATATTTAAAAACATCTTATTAAAGTTTAAAGTGTAAAATTGAATTTTGATTATCATCGATCACCAAAAGCCAAGAAAAACCATTTCAGGTTTTATTTAATTTTATTTTTATCAGATGATTAAAATTACTGAAGATATTATTATCATCATAAGGTGACAGTCCTAAGACTGATTGGACACGCACCACCAAATCCTTCCTATCCTGAGCTAATCTTAGCATTTCCCTAAAATTAGAACATCCCACATCCTCCACTATTTGCGAACAGTAATCTAATCTAGGTCTACCTCTACTCATCTTAACTCCTGTTTCTGCCTCTAATATGTTTCTGACTACACCGTCATGCCTGAGAAGCTGTCCTACCAACCTATCTCGCCTATTTTTTATTGACTTCCATAGAGTCCTCTGTTCTCCTATTCTTTCTAATACTTCTTCATTTAAAACCTTCTCCATCCACGGTATCCTCATCTTTGAACGCTTCTAACCTTTTCTTTTCCGCCGCGCCCACTGTCCATGTTTCGCACCCTTACAATGACACGCTCCAAATATACATCCTTAACAATTTCTTTTGAATTATTAAATTAATAGTTCGCGAGCATAGAAGTGACTTCTTTTTATTGAAGACGATTCGACCCTGTGCTATCCTCTGCTTTATATCCCTACTACTTCCGTCCTGACTTATCTGACTACCTAAAATCAGCCACTTCTTCTAATATTTCGTCTCCCATCTTTATATTCACTCTTTCCCTACTTTTTCTTCCCTTTCATACCAGTATTTTTGTCTTACTTTTATTTATTTTCAAACGATACTGTTTAGTCAAAACCGCTTCCATATTCTTTAAAACTATCTTTAACTCTTCTATATCATTCGATGATTTTGAACCAAGGCTTACCTTTTAACTTCATCTGCCGATTGTGCAATAAAGAATCCCTGAGTGTTGGCCTGAATTTTTGCACTTCGGGGGTTGATTGATATTTTGGAATCGGTCCCTTCATCGCCACCCTTAATTTCGATGGCCAACAGGAGAAGTTTAAGCTTCGTGAAGCACAGCCTGACAATAAACATGTGTCAGCACGTTCATATTTAATTTAAAATTGACACAGAACAACAAGTGCATTCTAAAGGCAACATAATGTAAGCATGACTAGCATTAAAGCAGCAATGGTGTGTTTTTGTGTTTAGTACTTGCTTTGTAAAATAATCCTAAAGGGTGTAAAATTATTAAATTTTTTATGCCAAAAAGCGCTTATTACAAGGGAACAGACGTATTTCGGTGTTTACTGAAAATACTAAGCCACTATTTGTGGATGTGGAGGTGCAAACACCTCACGAACTTATAATCGCCGGCCTAAGCACGGACCTCGTATGCAAACGATGTCTGCTCCCGCTTATTGCGCTATACTTTGATTGGTTTTTGTTGTCAAATATCTTAAATGAAATACCTACATCAGTTCTACACAAATTTTAAAATGAACTTTTGTATTTTTGAATTTTACCTACAATGAGTTTTATTGGTATCTCTGTTTAATTGATGTTCTAAGTATCGGTACAAAATAATTGCAATTAAAAACACATGCTTACAAACAACTAACAGAAAAAAGTATCATGTACTTAAGACTTTAGAACATGCAATATTACAATACATTTATTATGAAGTTAGAAGTGTATTTTTAAAGAAGATTATTTTGGTGTTAGTTTAACTGAAATTTTCTATTTACTTTTAGTATGAGGTGGTTACTTTTATTGTATTGTTTATACTTCGGGTTTTAGATTTGCGACGATTTTAGGTGGATAGGTTTTTAGTTTGTCTAGTAAAAAATAAGAAATAGCAATTCTAGATTAAACTAATATCTAAATACATCCACATTATCCAATTGCCGCCTAGGTAATATCTTGTATCTATGCTTGCCTACGTTTGTTTTTTAATCCATGCTACACTAATATCGGAAATTTTAATTCCATTAAGGCCATTTTCTAAAAGGAGCTCAATACAAAATTTAAGAAAAATCTGAAGAATATCATTAAAACGTGTTTTATATCTTTAAATTATATTATAGTTATTTAATCATTACCAAGGCTATTTTCTTAAATTATGTACTTTTGCCAGTCGAAGGGGTTTATAATACCAACAAAAGGTACATCTGATTTTGTTTAATTTTTACAACTTCACAATTACTTTGTAAGATAAATACTGCAGATTTAAAATTGCATAAACGTCTGGGTAAATATTCTATAAATTTGTTCATTAGTACAACCAACCCTTACAACTGGCAAGTATTTTTTTTTATTTCTTCTGTGTGTATTTCTTTTTTAAAAAGTGTGAGCATATAGAAATTGCTGCAAATTATATATTGAACGATATTTTTTTGCCCTACTGTAATAATGTAGTAATTTTTTAACGAATTGTCGTTGTTGATCTATTTATGGCGTTGTTAATAGCCCTTCGTTTGTTCTTGAACCACAAATATACCCCAAAGGAGGCACCACGATTGACATCACTAATTTACCAATAAACGTATTGCTCACACTTTGTATTTTGCACAAGGACGTATTTGTAAAATTTACACCGTAGGCAGTCACAATTTGCAGTTCATTATTTAGGTAAATTCATAAAGTTAAAATAAAAATTTCCTGGAGTAAGTTACTAATTTGTCATTAGTCAGCAAGTACGTCCTTGTTTTCTTAACTTGTACAGTAATGGTTAAGGAAACATTAAAAAACAGCAGAATCTCGATATGTTTAAGGTCAAACGTTAAAAAAGTTTAAAATAATATAAGGATTAAAATTAATAAGGTCCATATTTTACTTGACTGTTTTATCTTTTTGAGGTTTCGTATTTTAAATAAAAAAGTTTTAAGCGCCTGAAGGGAGGAAAACCATGACTATTTCGTATAAATATGTATTCTTTATTGAAAAAATTACTTGACCTTCAAATGACCCCGATGGTCAAGGCGGTCGTCGGAACGATCGAGATTTTACTGTAACAGAATTGATGTGCACATTGGAAAACGATAAACAGTTAGGGAACATGTTGTTAAGACAGAGATAGAAACTACTTCGTTAGTTCTGTAATATATTATGCAATTGGGAACTACAATAGTGGGATTAGAGAAGGGTTAAACAGAAAAAATCGCGTTTGGATTTTGTGGATTCTTACTCGCTGGCTTGTGAAAAAGTCATCCCCGTGAACGAGGGCGATAGCGTCTCTGTATACATCTCGCACCCCGTCCCTTGAAGATAATCATTCTGCCACACTTGCGTGTCAGGAGACTGCAATTAATTATACCACAGTCGAATTATATTATATTATATTAATTTGTTTCTACTCTAAGAAAATGATTCGGCTTTTATCGCAATTGTCAGTTATGGGAAAATTGTAATTTTTAAGTAATTCATATCATATATATATACATTAGTTCGACGAATCTATGACCTAATAAGCACGTTTAGTCGTTATTGCTGGTGTCACCTTTCGTAGCTTAATGACTAGAACATAGCGCGTAATACCACAGGTACTGGGTTCGATCCCCGGCGAGGGTGTAACAGCAGCAACAACCTTTTCTCATTGATTTGAGGTAACTCGTAGGGGATAAAAATTAAGCGAATTTTCACATTAATGATTTAAAGTTTTTACTATTACTGATTGTGATAGGGACATTATATATTTGTAAATAGAACCTAGATATAGAAACTAATTCTTACGATTAATAAAAACGAACAATAGCAAAATTAAAATTGATGTGCATTTTACATAGCGTCCAAAGCGACACAAATAATTTGGCAAATGTTTTCAAAGGATTAATGAATTATCACAAGATCAATGATAAATCAAAAGGACAATGACTCTTGCAAATTTTTCTGTCACAGTCTACTCAAAAGTGCTAGTTACTGTCAAGGACGTAGCCAGTCAGTACATGGACCAGAACATTCAATGCATGGACCATCCCTAACAACGTCCTGATTACTGTAATGTTATTTACTGTTGCAGAGTCGTTGTTCTTCTAATTTTCAAAATAGAAAAAATGAATGTAAAGATAAAGGTCACGTTATTATTTAAAAAAAAACGGAAACACAGTACAGTAGACAGAATAACTACGATACACAGAGATAGTATTGTGGTTGATGAAGCAGAAATTTTACTTCATCAATAAACCTGCAGCTTGCATTTCCTTGTGGTGAATATTGAAGCAGTTCATCATAATAAATAATTAACATTGTTCATACAACAACAATCAAATCTACAACACAATCATTAAGTTGTTAAAAATTGCCAGAAGTAAATTTGATCACCACAAGAAAATGGACGAGCTTCACTTTTGTAAGCCACTTACTCGGTGGCGTGCGCAAATACCATCCCGATAAACGAAGGACTTAACGTTTCTGTGTACATTTCCATTCCTGTGCCTCTCAAATAATCATTTGTCCAAACGTGCATTTCTGTAGACTGTAATATCATTTTGCAAAATTAAAAATGTTCACTGATCACAAAGATTTAAATTCATCGCTAAGCGTATGTTTACAAATGAAAAATTGAAGAAAATCGAGATATCTTATTATCCCATAATTTTTTGTTTAGGATTCACACAATAGTCGTTATTCGCATTGACATTATAGAACTTTCTTTATGATTTTCAGTTTGCCATAAACTAAGTAAAATGAGTTTATGTTCTATTTTACGTGAAATATAGTTAATTATGTCGAAGAAAAGTCGCTGGACCATGCACTTGTACAGAGAACATTACATAAATCGCTCAAACGTCTACAGAACAGGACATTAGACCAGAATAGCGTGAAATTTAATTTGGTTTATTGGTAATAAAATGCCAATATTATATATAAAAGAAATTATGAGTGCTGTCAGCACACGGCAAAGTAGTATTACGTAGTTAGTACCAGCAATTTCTTATGCTGAAGTGTACGATGTGTTGCATACCTATTTNTGAATTGAAATAATATTTGAAATGAAATGAATTTGAAGTAAAATAATGAAAAAGAATGCTTAAGAAATATCTACAAAAAATATATACAATTGTCCGCCATAGTTCTAATTACGCCATTTGGTTTTGCACCAATAAATTGTAAATATTATATATAAAAGAAATTATGAGTGCTGTCAGCACACGGCAAAGTAGTATTACGTAGTTAGTACCAGCAATTTCTTATGCTGAAGTGTACGATGTGTTGCATACCTATTTACAAACAATTCATTAAAATTTAATTTTTTAAGTGAAAGAAATTAATCAAATTGTTTACAAAAGTGAATTTCTACCACTCGAAGCAATAGTGCTAACAGTTTCGAACTCATCGTGACTGATAGGGACCGATAAATTTCGTAGTGGTATTATGTTTGTTGTTTCCTACACTTAAAACTTGCCCTGTATGCTTTGTAATTTGAATTAGTAGTTTTTTTAGAGAAACTTTTTATTCGATTTTGCTTTTTCCACATTTATTCAACAACTTACCGTTTTGAACGATCTCATGGCAAAAAGGTTGGCCATCATCGTAGAGAAACCTGGTGCTAAGCAAGACTGCGCGATGAACCCCAATTTGAGCTCTGCTAAGCATATTACGTCATCGCCTTGCTTCCAATCCCAGGATGGAATGTTTAATAAATAAGCCTAAAACATACACAATGACGTTCATAAGCAATTGATTCAAAACGTATCTCAAAATTCCAACGGAAAGGTGATTAACCGTATCTCAGGTGTTTTCTCCGTTAAATTCGCCAGTTCTAGTCCCATTTTCTTACCTTATTATGGTACTGCATTAATTGAATAATAACCCTAATATCGTCGCTGTAATTTTTGATAGAAATGACTCTCATTATGTTAGCAGCATCTTCAGCGTCTGGATCTTGACAGTATTTGTTCGCCAAAACCAAACACGCATCTGCTTCGTGCACCTATTAAAATACATTAATTATTCCTTAACTTATTAAAACTTCCCCTTTGGTCATCACACTACGCGTCTCTTATTCTTATTCCTAACTTAAACCATCCGAACAAAAATTCATTAACGTAAAAGCAAAGCAAACTTTACAGTAAAGTACGAAATATCTACTGAAGTTACGTTCAAATTTAACTGACACGTAAAATGCTTTAATTTTAAATAAAAAAATGTTTGCGCATTATAATTGATTCATATGATAATATAGATAATCGTCTTCTAGAACAATTGTTTTGTTTATTGAGTATATGTAATACACCAGATTAATGAAATTATGGAAAACATGCAAAGAAAATTTAAAATCTACAGTTATATACCTAATAAAGGGTGCATACTTTTATGAAGGACAAAATTGGTAAATTCTGTATCAAATATTGTAAGCTTTTGGCAAAGGATTAATTCAAGGGCAATGGAGAGTAACGTCTCTTTTATACGACCCTAAAACCCATGGAGTTTCCCAAAAAGTGCACGCTATGTTCCGTTTGGATCCAGTGGAATACTATAGGGTTGTTCGGAAAGTCATTTCGTTTTTTTTTGTGGAAATGAAAGGCAGTTTTCGTATAATAAACAAATACTTTATTAAATTATATATTGACCGTTCTGGTCCAACACCTTTTGCCATCTTTCTGGTAGTAGCATAATTCCACGCTCATAAAATTTTTGGTCTTTGCTGGCAAAAAACTGATCGAGGAGGTTTTTGACCTCCTCATTTGAGGTGAAGGTTTTACCGTCTAAAAAATTTTGAAGTGACCGGAACAAATAATAATCCGATGGTGCCAGGTCTGGAGAATATGGTGGGTGTAGCATTGTATCCCATTTAAGCTGTAAAAGCTTTTGGCGAGTGACCAAACTTGTGTAAGGTCTCGCGTTGTCTTGGTGAAACACTACACCTTTCCTGTTGATTAGTTCTGACCTTTTCTGTTGAAGTGCATCATTCAGTTTGTCCAGCTGATGACAGTAGACTTCCGAATTAATCGTTGTGTTATCCAGTAAAAGCACAAAAAAAACGATTCCTTTAAAATCCCACCAAACAGACAGCATCACCTTTTTTTGGTGAATGTCGGCTTTGGAAATGGTTTGAGCCGGTTCATCTTTTTTGCTCCATGACCTCTTGCGTTTGACGTTGTTGTATACAACCCATTTTTCGTCCCCAGTGATGATGCGCTTCAAAAACGGATCATTTTCGTGACGTTTGAGAAGCGAATCGCAGACGTCAATGCGGCGACACAGATTTCTCTCTGTGAGAACATGGGGAACCCATACATCGATATTCGAGGATAATCCCAGGCCTTTCAAGTGGTCATAAACTGTTGAATTTGATAAATTTAACCTCAATCCGATCTCACGTGTTGTTATTCGCCGGTTCACATCAACTAATGCCTTTATCGCGTCTTTATCAGCTTCAACCGGCCTTCCCGAACGTGGTGCATCTTCGACATCAAAATTGCCGGATCGAAATTTAGCGAACCAGTTCTGGCACTGGCGTACTGTCAACACACCTTCTCCATACACATCAGTCAATTTCTTTCTGGCTTGAACAGCATTTTTACCCTTTCTGTAGTAAAACAGTAAGATATGTCGAAAATGCTGCTTATCGCTCTCCATATTTAAAAGGGCACCAACCAAAAACTACTGCGTAGAATTAGTTGGAATATTTCACACACAAGCCTTGCTATATGAGCTCTCAAAGTGTATAAAAATTATACGGCTTAAATGTGAAGTTGGGTGCAAAAGAATACAATTAAATCCTCTGTCGAGAAAAAACAAAATGACTTTCCGAACAACCCGATATTTGGGAAAATATATGGGCAGATTTTGTGCAACCTTCCCTGCTATTGTGTCTTAAACGAATGCTTAAACATGTCTTCATTTAAGTATGCATTATTTGTGCGATGTCAAGTGCGGTTAATGATATTTAAATTATTACGAAATAATAATATTGATATTGATAAGTCTATCATAATGAACGTTGATGCATTTTCCTCCACTTAACAACGCAATGTATTATTATGCAACTACCGAATTGTTAACTATCTAGGAAATTATTAATAATCAAATCAAGTGTCATGGGCCCATCATTCGTTAGTGCAGAATATATGCAGCCTATTAATATTAAAAATCTAATTTTTACCAGCTAAAAGTCATCATGCAAAAACCAATTAGGCAATTTACCAAATTAGAGTTTTCTATGTAATATTGTTAATTATAGGAAGCTTTGCAGAGCATAGTTTTATAATGTACTGCCGAACACTGGCATAAGCCACATGAGCCAACAAATAGTCAATTCACTTCAGAAACAACGAAACAAAAAAAGAAACCACATTTATTTTGTTTTTTATTGTTGTAACTAGCTTTCACTTGTTATATTATAGCATTATTTACTCGAGATAATCGTAATAATTCAAAATATTTAATCATGAAGTGAAAATCTACCCTCATACGTAGCATTGATAGGACTTACTGGTGGTTTCCAAATAATATTAGGTACAATGTAATGTAAATTCAATGGCAATTTTGCCCAAAATAACAATTTTATACAAAAAATTATGGCCCACATGGAATATACCGAAAAAATTTCAAAGACCTAGTACGACTTACCAAAAGTATAAGTTGTCGAGGATTCAAAATATAAACAACGTAAACGTATCGATAGGAATATTGATTTATAAAAGTATTAAAGTAATTCCAGGAATGTCAGCAATTGACCTGGTAAATTTTGAGTTTTATTATTATCATTACTGATCTACATTTATTTTTTTTTTTTTTTT